TGTCAATTGACAATGGCAATGACAGTTATACCGATTCTACATATATGATTGCAAGGATGATGTCGGTGTAGAATTGACTCAAGGGTGGAACATCATCTAGCGGTGTCGACCATTGCATAGAAGTTACAGTATACTCGCAGCTTCAATGCATATTGCTTGCAGCCATCAAAGAGTGTACAGTCCATACATATGCAATACATCTACAATATCCATGATAGATATTCAAGTGCAGCGAATGGGAGGCTTGCAGAGGACAGGGATCCGGCATGTATGCTGTTTTGTGAGTCCCTGGCAACGGCAAGACCGAAGGGGCAAGCCGCAGAAACGAGCGTCTGATCAGATGCCAGATTGGGACCAGGGCTGGGATGTCTTAGCGCTTAGCCACGAGGGTGTTAGGGTTAGTATAGGGCGCCACTATGAGCTAGGAGATAAGGAAGGGACATATGTACGTGATCACAGTACATGTAGCTAGGGATAAGTTAAGTTAACGTTAATACATAATACAGGTATAAGAGTACAGTAATTTATAAGTTAAATGAGCTTGAACATACTAAGAATGTAATTGAATGACTGGAGGAATATCATAGGAAGATCACAGAGCTCAAAGCGAAGAGACCTCGTCAGCGACCCGCCGCCCCTCTTGTCGCAGCCCAATTAGGCTTAGTGCAGTTTCACTATGAGACGAGCGGGTTGTCTGTGCTGGAGATATTTAAGTATATTTAGAGAGAGTTATTATTAGAGGAGAGGAGAGTAGAGTAGAATAGAGTAGAATAGAGACTAGAGTACAATATACTGATTTTAGGTTGTTACATGGTTATATGAGATACCCCCAGATACTTCCTCCAGTGTAGCTCCACAGCGGCAATCCTGGTACCTGCGGAGTACTTGTATCGCATCCCCCCTGATACTGACATTCTTGTTCTTAACGGCTGCTGGTCCAGCTTCATTGTCAACTTCCCTCTGCAATCCCCGAGGTAAGTTCTAACATTGACCGTACACTGCACATGTGCCTATTGTGTACTGTAGTGCCTGTACCCCGTTCCCCACACCTCTTGACTTTGGGCTAATTTTATTTTGTCTCAGTGTCTCTTTTCAGGGACTCACCCCTCCTTTCTCTGGATTTCACCTTCTTAGGCTTCATCGCTTATCAAGCCCCTGTCGATCCCTTTCTCAGCTGGGGGAGGGGATCCTTTGACGAGGACTGGTCTCCTTGTCTGTGCGTGCCTTAGATCGTGCGATGTGGACTGGATCTACTCAGTACCTTGTTTCTCGATATGCCTCCCGATGACCCATTCTCGTTCCTGCCGGAGCAGCCTCAGCCCCAGCCCAAGGCGACGAAGTCTCTATGGAGAGAAAAGTTGTTCTCCAAGAGCAAGAACAAGGGTGCGTCGCATCAGGAGATCGCAGACTTCCTGGGCTCGTCCAGGGGAGCGCCAGCGCCAGCGCCAGAACCAGTACCAGTACCAGTACCGCCGACGGTCGACCCGAGATACAACCCTCCGCAAAACGTTACTCGCACTCCTTCCTCTAACGATGTCTCCGTCCCTTCGAAACCAACCCCGCCGCCTCCCCGCGACAACTATGCCGCCTTCGACTTCTCACAACAATCTACGCAACCTCCACCGACAAAGCCCCGAAAGGGCAAGGGACTACGGGTTGGATTTTCAGGTCAAAACCCCGACGTGATTGGGGAAGGGGGTGACGAGTCGGACACACCCACAATTGAGATCTCGCGCGCTCGCCAGAGATCAATCAGCAGCAGCGCGTTGAGTGGAAATGCCCGCGACCACTCGTCAGACTCGCGATCGAATCTGCCCGCGCTACGAGTCGACACATCGCTGGGCGATGGCGATGCGCGACCCCGGCGAACTGCCACTAAGCGGGACCCCCGTGGGGAATCCGGTTGGAAACCGCCCCTCATGCATAATGTTCAGGATGCCGATTTCTTGGCGACATTGCCTTTGACTGAAAGTGGCTCTCGGTTATCATTCCGGGGCGATTCCGAAGAGGCCTCGTTCGCACAACGTGTTCGCGACAAGATGTCAGCGGAGGAAGGCCGTGCCTTGCACCGTGCGTATGAGGACGATACACCTTCTCCTGGAGGCGATTACGAAGATCTGCCCACTCCTCCCAGCCCTCCCAGCCCAGAACCGCCGTTGAAGGAGATATCTGCATCGGAATCTGGCTATGAAACAGCCCCAATGTCAGTCACATCAACTGCGCCGTCCGTCTCTCTGTCTATGAAGTCGATTGTACACTCGATTCGCAATCCCCCAAGTCCTGTCACCTATCGCCAACCAGAAAGTCTCAGTCCCGTTGACACTCGCATGCCCCCGAGTCTCACACCAGGCAGCCCCGGCAAGGTTTCGCCAACACGCGCTAACCCACCACCCCCGGAACTGCCTTCCCCAAATCTCATGTCACCTCCCAGTCGCGAAGGACGAGAGCCATCCCGCAGCCCTCAGCCACCCAAATATTCTTTACGCAACGTTGCGAATCAAGTCAATGAGACCGCATTTGCTGAATTTAAGGAGTACAATGCGAGATATGAAAGTCTTATCCAACTGGCAGCGGAAAGTGTCAAGCCGCTAGTCGAAACATCTCTAACAGAATGGGTACGATCTGCAATTTGGTGGTTCCTGCGAGGAAAGACACGATTGGAAGCATATGCTCGCTCCCGTTCAACGTCGCCGCCAAGCTTTGCTAGGCAGGCTGTAATTGATCTCGGAAAGGCGTTATGGATCAATGAGCACATCGTTCCCGGCCATAGCGAACTGGCCAAGTACGGGGCTATGAGCGTTGACGCTCTACTTGCGGTTGCAAGCACCACCGGCGACAAAGTGCTGGTTGATCTTCTCAATTTGCATCAGGTTCTTTCTAACCACATTCGGTCGCTTTCCATGTCCATCAAGCGAAACAACATCCTCGCAGCGGTTATTTCAGACGATGGATCCCCTACTCAGCTGGACACCACCATCTGGCTGCGTTATCCTTTCTACGCCCCCGATGTTTCTGCGGTCTTGTCTGGCGCGGCAACTAGATCGATGTTGGCAGATACCGCTAGTAAGACACCAAATCTGGTTCATATGATGCCTTTGAGCGATACAGGTCGCTACTTTAGCTATGGCAACATGTTTGTGCAAGTATGCGTGAGCTCTAATGATGATGATGGGCAACAGCAATACGCCATGCCTTGTGTATTGACCATTATCCGTGAACGCGCAGATTGGTATGTCTGTGCGGCGATCACCAGTCAAAGTCAGCTTGTCAACATCTTGATTCAATCCGACCGCAAGCAGGGGCCGACCTGGGAAGATGTGGATTGGCAAGTCCGGTCGAACTCCATGCGAGTCAAGCTCCCTCGGGGATTCGAGCTGGATGTTATGTTCAAGGAAGAAGATTTCAAGACCCTTTGGAACATTGTCAAGTACACCCAAAAGTCGGAAGCCAGTCTACATCCCGAGGCTGGAGAGACTGTTGTGTTTGAGAATACTGTTAAGACGTTCCAGTACATGGACCCGGGTACACCCAAGGCATTCCCTCCTGACCCCTCCGAAAGATGCCGGGTTCGTTTGTTTGAGCGGTCAGTGACTGTGACAGAAGGCACTGGAACTCGCAATGCGCACCGCGGCTTCCGACTTGTCGTTCTGACTAGTCCCAAGGTGAAGACTTTGAGCAGTATTCGTCATATCCTGGGCCATGGTTCACCAATCGTGTTCGGTCTTTTGCGCGGAGAGGATGGTGCCCCTGCTCTTCTTCTCAAGGTCACTGAAGATGGCCGTCAGAGATCCATGTTGATGACTTTCCACAAGGTGGAGGAGCGTACCAGTATTCATTCTGTTCTTCTTGGCATGGTTCCGAAGGAAGGAGAGCTCAAATCACCGGACATCCCGATCAAGTCTTACTGCATTGAACAACCCGCAGACCCAGTCAGTGGCCAGCCTCCTGTCAAATATGTGCAGTTCCCCGCTGGAAGTGTTTCTGTGATTGACCAACAACATGCCTACGTTGAGCATGGCTATGGACCTACGATTCTATCAGAACATTTGAGGGCTTTTGTCGCCACCGAATGGGGCTCTGTTACAGACCGGATTAACTTAGGTCGGTGTTTTCTCTTTACACTTCTAAGTTTGGTGCTGTTGCTAACTCTTCTAGGCCCTGGCGAATTGAAGATCGGCCTGGATGTTAATCGTCAGAATAGCATGAGTTTATTCCGCTCGGCGCAGCAGGATCTGACTCTCTCCCTTGCGGATAACCTTATTCGCCCTGAGATGCCAGATCAATTAACAGGCTTCCTGGAGAAGATCACTGTGAAGCCGATGGTTCGCCGACTGGAGTTCCCCACGATGCAAGGTATGTTCCTTCCCCGAACTGTTGCATACAAGGCTAATTTTGCAGATCTCCATGCATTCGAGCAAGCTGTCACTGGCTTCCAGGTGCTTTATGATGGGTATGTTTACTTGAATCTGGGGTTTGGTACTTGCTAACTTGACCAGTATGGCCACCTCCTTCACCATTTCCCGCCGGCGGATGGTGGTACCAATCTACAAGAAGTGGGAAGCACCACTGGCTCGAATCCAAATTGTTCGACAGGAAAGAGTCGTTCAATTGCTTGTCTTCTTCGCCGATTTCCAACACGGCACATGTATGAACTTTGTTCTGAAGGGCACCGACCTCATGGAGCCATTCAGCCGGTCTGGCAAGTTCGGTATTCGCCTCGTAGATGCCAAGTTCGCTCTTCCTAAGAAGGACGAGGATCCTTCTTCCAACTTTGTCTGCCTGGACATGCCCGAGTATCCTATCGAACACGACGATCTTGCCATTTCGTTCGATACGGAAGCCGGTGAGTCTATCCAACACCATATGCAGATACAATACTAACAATTTTAGCCCGTGCCACCTTCCGAGCCGCTCTGCCAGGATCCGTGCGAGAGCCATCCCGCATGGGCTCGATTCGTCGGTAATCCCGCACCCACGTGACTGATTACGTGCTCCCCCTCATGTCTCCCGATGTCCCGCTTGTTTGGTATATCATAACCTTCTCTGTGCATACAATTCAAGAACATAGCATTATGCATTCTAGCGAGACCACTGGCGCTTCTACGCGTTCCTTACACGCCGACGATGCATTCAACATTGTCACAGATGTTGCTCCTCCAATTCACGTCTCCACCACATTCCGTTACTCAGATGATCCCTCCCACCTAGTCCCCTACGCTGATATCACTGTATGAACCACACCTCACTAAGATAAACCAAACACCATCTAATACTCCAGTAGTCCCCCGGTGACCCAACCGTCCACGTCTACTCCCGCGCTTCCGCCCCAAACTCCTCCCGCTTCGAAGCAATCCTCTCCTCCCTCCTCCACGGCCAAACCATTTCCTACTCCTCAGGCCTCTCAGCCCTCCACGCAGCCCTAACCCTCCTAAACCCACGCCGCATCTCCGTCGGCGACGGCTACCACGGCTGCCACGGCGTCATCGCCCTCTTCACCCGCCTCACGGGCCTCCAGAAACTAGATCTAGACTGTCCAGCGGACGCCCTCGAAAAGGGTGATGTCATCCTCCTCGAAACGCCCGTTAACCCCTACGGCACGGCCTTCGATATAGCCCACCATGCCGAGAAAGCCCATTCCCGTGGTGCGTTCCTTATCGTCGATAGTACTTTTGCTCCGCCGGGTTTACAGGATCCTTTCCTGCATGGCGCTGATTTGGTTATGCATTCCGGGACGAAGTATTTCGGAGGTCATAGTGATATGCTCTGTGGTGTTCTTGCTACGAAGCGTGATGACTGGGCTGAGCAGCTTAAATCTGATCGGCTGTTTATTGGCAATGTCATGGGTAATATGGAGAGTTGGCTTGGTGTGCGCAGTCTGCGCACCCTTGAAGTCCGTGTCCAGCGTCAGAGTGATAGTGCTACGAGGCTTGTTGGGTGGTTGGATGGTTGTCTTCGTGTGAGAGATCCGGTGGCTGGGAGTGATGCGGCTGTTGTGCAGGCTGTTCTGAAGGAGATCTTTCACGCTAGTGTTCAGAGGGTTGAGGGGGATTGGCTGAAGAAGCAGATGCCTAATGGGTTCGGGCCTGTTTTTGCTATTTCTATGACTGAGGAGCGCTTTGCGAAGGAGTTGCCTAGTAAGTTGAGGCTGTTCCAGCATGCTACTAGTCTTGGGGGTGTTGAGACTTTGATTGAGTGGAGGACTATGTCGGATGCTTCGGTTGATCGTCGGTTGTTGAGGATTAGTATTGGGTTGGAGAATTGGGAGGATTTGAGGAATGATTTAGCTAGAGCTTTTAGGGAGTTGGTATAGGGTGAGAGATGTAGATAGCATATAGTGAGGTTTTCACTGAATATATAGTTGACTAGTTCACTCAGTACGTGTTTAAGTTGACTATGTTGATTACCCCGCATTGACCATCTTATTGGCCCAATTCTATTAATCTCCTTCACTTCATCTTCCTCTCCCTCCCACGTTCAAGTCTATCAATTCACTCTACCTACTCCAATATCCAATTCAATCTACCACTGCCACTGCTGCCATCAGGACAAAATGTCCACATTCACAATCCACTACTTCGCAACAGCATCCCAATATACAACAAAAAACACAGAGTCCCTCTCGGCACCACTCCCCCTCTCAGATCTCTTCAATCAACTCGAGAAACACTACCCCGGGATTGTGGAGAAAGTCTTGTCCAGTTGTGGAGTGAGTCTCAATGGCGAATATGTTGATGTGAAGGAAGACGTGGACGTTGTTATTCTCCCTGGGGCCGAGGTTGCTATTATTCCGCCTGTTAGTTCGGGATAGATCTGTTTGAGATGAGGGGTTATGTTTATTTGACTGTATATATTATATAACTATGTTTGGTCTACTGCGCTCATGCCATGTCCTGTTTTGGAGTTAACTTTGTTTGAGATGATTGATTTCGTGTGTAAATGGTTATTAGGGCAGACGCTACCGATATAAATCAGACAAAGGAAATGAAACAAATTTGGCCATCCATCTATCTCCACCTTGTCCCTCTATACTCTCGTATATCACCCCAGTCAACTACTGATTCCAGCGCCAGTCCCACCTCCAATCCCAAGCATGCCCACGAATACAAGATCATTCAACAGCCTTCTCAGCAAGAGCCTTCTTCTTCTGCTGCCACAAACAAACAGAACAAATAGTCGAAAAGAAAAACAAAATACTAAACCTCAGTCAGCATACCTCCATTATTGAACAAAAAGCCAAAGGGAAACTTACCAGAGCGCAATACTCAATCCCCAAATCGCCTTCATCTCAAGACAAATCGCCTTACTAGCCCCAATCCAAGAAACGTAGTCGACCTTCCCACTAATATTAGCTAGATAACTCGATAACCGCGACGCAAATGCGTAGGCTGTTGCGTCTTTGTCGCCTAGTTCGGCTAGTGTCGTGCATTTTACGTACGAGAGTGGTTTGCCGATTATCACTGCCACGACGATCAATGCGATTAGGAGGAGGAAGTCAAGGACTGCGCTTGGGAGGAAGGGGAGGATGTCGTCTCTGAAGAGGATTGTTGTTATTATGCAGTATATCGCGGCAATGCAGGTCTTAAGTTCACTTTGTTAGCTTTTTCTTGTTTTGTTTTGAGTGCTTGTAAATTGAGATATAGAGATGGATTATCCATACCACGCTGATTGTGCCGATTACTATGTTTGGTGGTGTGGCGTTTGTCGAGACGATGACCGAGACGAAATTTGCTGTCATGCCGATTATGGCGATTAGGGAGCAGGCTTGGAAGAGGCGGGATATATAGAATGTTGCGCCGAGGGCTCCGTAGCGGGACATTTTGATAGAATGAGGGACTCGAATTTGAGGTTTGGAGGTTGAAGTTGGACTGGATATTAGGAATTGTTGGTCTGAACAAAAGAATGGGTCTAGGGATGCGAGTATTATAGTCAAAATGAAGGATTGAAGTCGTAAGAAATAAGAACAGAAACAAAGAGGGCGTATTCTGAAAGAAGGCGAAGCTGATGATCAAATTGAAATCCTGGCTGGGTCTGGCCGTGTCTTATATAGCAACAAAGGCACTCGAACAATGACCTCAACATCCTGCAATCCAGAATCTAGACTGGGATTAATTTAGCAGCAGTCAATTCTAGACCATCTATTGACCCAGCTCTGCCGCGCTCTCTTTGTGCGTTACAGGTTGTCCGGGGATCAAGCGCCCCCGGCTGGAAATGTCCAACCCGACTGGTCGCTTTGCTTGAGCTGTATGCTAGATCTAGCGATCAGCGTGAATGACAGCTAAAGCTGCTCATAGCTCTGGACTCTTAACAATTGGCTTTTGCAGAAATAGAAATGGCTATTGTAGGGTCCACCCCGGCGCTTGGGGGAAACCCTAACTTGTTTCCGGTGCTTCTCAGCCACTCGTTTGCTGAGCGTCTACTCATCTGAAGCAGGCGCCTATTTCTACTTGGTATATGCATTGTAGATCATGTTTCATCCTGGTCGCTTTCTACTTCAACTTGCATCCCGGTATTATTTTCCGATTCGGGTGCGTTACAGGGATGAGGTTAATGTCACCAGTTGGCAAATATATCAGGGCGGATCGCCTGCGATCTATCTATTTCTTTCAATGCGCCTCATTCTTGATGAAATCCATTATTAAATAATTACGGCTTCGTAAATACAATTATAGACGAGACAGCGTATCCAAGGATATTTACTAGTTCAATCTCCAGCCACCACTGGTCCGCTTCTGGAAGAACCCATCGGGGTCATAACGCTTTCTCGTCTGCAGGGCTTGCGCCTTGGAGGCGGGACTAATACGGCCCCAGTAATCCTGGCGGTAGTACGCGTCGTTCATGAACAGTGGTCGATACACATCGGGGAGGAGGCCTTCTTTGATGTTCTTCTGGACTAGGTTGTCCATGCCTTGGTAGAGGTCGATATTGGCTGCGTCGATCTTGGCGTCGTCTAGCGATAGGGCGTAAGAGAAGTCCAGCTCGATGAATATGTATGGGGTGTCAGTAGGAACGTCGAGGAGATCCTGGGATTTGTTAATAATTGTCTCTTTGATCGGGATTGGACTCTTACTCCGCCACGGTCCTTGGCCTTCTGGGAGAAGGTTCTGGGTACGGGTTGGAAGGCAATTGAGCCCAAAACACCGGTTACTTCGAGTACTGATTCGGTGACGTTGAACCAGTGGTCGTAGTACTCTTGGAGCACATCGGCGCCAACAGTCTTGTTGGGGAGAGGAGTGGTCTCGGTAGCGATGGTGTAGCGTTGTCCGCTGGTTGCTAGTCAGTATAAATTTAACCTTTTTAGAGTATCATCACTCACTGGAGGATGAAAAAGTCGTTGTTCTTTAGCAGATCATAGTAGCTGTCCCAGGTCTTGGCGGTAGAGGTGTGCTCAATATCCGTGAACTCGTCAAAGACACCAGCAGGGGGCTCGGGGCCGTCGTAGAAGACGAACATGATCCAAAAGTCAATGACAGGGCCATGCTCGGAGGTCAAGATGATAGCTGCCTTGTCATCGGGGTACTCGTCGACAAAGTTGCGCAGAGCCTTCAGAAGCTGAGGAGTCTTGTCCGACGTGAAAATGAAATTTCCACCCCAGACACTGTGATCTTGAGGATGCGTCTGCATTGTGTATGCAGTCACCACGCCGAAGTTGTTACCACCTCCCTTCAAAGAGGCAAAGAGATCTGTGTTCTCTTTCTCGTTCGCATGAACAATTGTGCCATTAGCCAGGACGACTTCGTAGTCCTTCACGTTGTTGGCAGCCCATCCATATTGGGTGCTCAGGAAACTCATTCCACCTAGAAAGCGTTAAACTGCCATCCCTTGACGTCGGAAACATCTCTTCACATACCTCCAAGCATATATCCGCCAATTCCTACGCCTCCAAGACGACCTCCAACAACACACCGTCCAGTTCCATCAAGAGCCTTCTGGGCTTCCTCCCAAGAAAGGCCAGGCCCAATAATAGCAGTGTGATCTTCATGGTTATAGTCGACTTGATCCAAGTTCTTCGTCGAGACCAACAATCCATCCTGGATACTGGCAAATCCATTATTGGGCATATGACCACCAGATTTGACAGCAAAGAGAGTCTCCACGTCGTGCAGATTCTTGATGACTTGTGACATCTCCGCTGCACTAGATGGTGCGGCGATACATGTAGGCTTGAGATCACCGCATGCTGCGGACCAATACTTGGTCAGGTCACTGTTGTAGGTAACTGAGAGCGGGTACTCGATGTCGATGCCTCCGTCTTTGAGTGTTGAGCAGATATCTGCCATTGCATGGGGAGCAAGGACTGCAATAGATAGCGCCGCGGTGCGCCATCCATTGCTTCCGAACATGTTTGAAAGAGTGTGGATAATATACTGAAGAAATATTAAGATATGAAGAGAATGGAAGACAATATGAAAGAGAGAATTGTAGAGGGCCTTAGTGAAGCTCTAGCGGATACAGTCAAGGTCAATATCGATTGCAGCATCAGGAATGAGTATATATAATCACCCTGAATACCTTCCACCGCAACTCGGAGGATATTCCTCCAGTCATCAAGTGGATCCAGTGAGAATGTATCTCATCCATCGAAGAACAAACAAATCCACCTGAACAGCAGTCCAGGGACTCCATTAGAATCTAACCGAGGGTCCACTGCGAATCCTAGTTGGATAAGGAGCCCGGCTGTAGATTCCGGCCCCCGACCTAATGGCTATCATTTGTGACGAGTTCATGATAGACTTTGTACAAAGTAGGGTTCGGCACAGATGCAGAACAAGCACATGGGAGCAAAAAGGAGAAACCTCGGATGATCTGAATAACCAGTACAGTTTGTACGAGTCAGTTCGCGTTCGGATGAAGCATCTGCATAACCGAGATGAACTTTCTGCGCCGATCGAGGGCCGGATAAGTATAGCCAGGGAATCCCAACGGCAGAGCAGGGGTTGGGCAGGATATCGCATGCCTTCGTAGATACGGATCGGGCAATTTTCGTGTACATCGCTGTCATGGTCGTCAAGCTCGGCCTCGGGCCTGTGATCGACACTATATTTCTCCCACCCTTGCCTTTGACCAGGATCAAGATTGGCAGCTAGAGTCAATGGTTTCCCATAATAAATCGGATATTGCTCTACTGGCATAGGGCGAACTGATTTTGCTCCAAAACTCCTATTTGCAAGTGGAGTGGACGTGAGACATTGATCGACAGGCGCAACTAATCACGCAAATCCAGGAACTTGCGGGGGATTTCCCCTAAATGGTTGTTAAGACGCCACGCTCGGGAGACCCAGCTCGCTTAGAGCGACGAGGAAATGATATTCATACCTGTCAAGTTTGAGGTCTTGTAGATCGACATAGCATACTCTTTCAACTTGGCTCTCACATGAAGTTGCGCTTCTCTCCGAACCGGACTATACGGTAGCGAGCTTAAACGATAGCGAATACGCCGGAATTTCCGCTGTTTCTTCGGAGTGATCGTCGACTGTCCTTTCGGTTAGAAAAGATATGCATGCAGAACCCGTCTTCCAAAAAATGGGGAGTTGGATTTTCAGGGTGATCTACTGTACTTGCGTGGTTTTGTCAAGCTATCAGTACAACGTTGAAATAGTGACACAGTAGCACAAAGTATAGCAGGGATTTCCTCGGCCATATTGCACAGAGAATGGACTCTGTCCGATAGGCCAAACATCTTGACAACGCACAAGTCACGCACGAGTCGCGACGACACCCCTGTCTGCAAACTGCCGACCCGAAGGAGTTCGCTCGGGTCATGGCGCCCGGGGCTCCGGGACGATTGTCTCTTGGCGAGGTAAGTGAGATGCCTGGGGAAAGATTTGGTGTGTATTATGTGTGTGGAGTTTCTGTCTTGTGTTGTGGATGTGAACCCATGTTAGAGTGTCGATCATGTTCTGAGAATAGAAACATTGAGCATCGCTGTGATAACGTAAGGAAAACGCACGACGGCGCAAGTTTCTGAACTAACAGGCTTTGATACACCCTCATATGAAGGCTAGTTCGATTTTTTGTAGTCAAAATTTATGTATAGGGGACTCCAGATTCCTTTCGCCCATCTCCCCGCTATCACTTTATTGTGCTGCTCTGGTGTTATGTTCCCCGTTGAACTCGTTTTAATTCCAAACTAGGCTTCTCACTGTTATCGAAAGCATTTCTCTCGTTGTCAACAGGTCAACTCAAAACCGTAGGCTTGGTTGATCGGTCAGGAGGCTTTGCTAGTCTCTATGAAAGAGATACAGCCTCTGCTCTGACTCGGGGAGAGAGAAGTAAAGGATTACTCTGTCGTATTATTTAATTCAATGGCATGCAAACACACTCCTTTCGACAAGAATTGATCTTCAACATGAGCATATACTTCACTGCAATGTGATTGATTAGATTATTGAACATACCGCCTAGGGCGGTATGTGAACTGCGGGCAGAATAACCAGTTTTCCAGCGACAGGAACCTTCATCTGGACAATGCGATAGCTCTGGCCATGGCACTGACGAAGATAGGGGCTTTGCAGAAACTAGCAATTGCCCGAAGAGTCGGATTGCGGTCCACATGGCGACAGCGCGCAGGATGGCCCCTCACCGCGCCTGGCCGTCTCCCACTCATGCGCTGTTTGTCCACCACGAACTCGCTGAAATCGACCGAGGCCGTTGAAACAGAGAGTCCGGTAGGTCATCTCAGTCTCTGATGTGTGATATTGAACTAAGTCTTCTCCTAATACAGACACCCGCAGAGACGGAAGAGTGGCAAGTGGCCTTCGAAGACAAGATACCCCCCAAGCTCGTATTCGAAGAATTTGGAGATATCCGCGAATACTTGAGCAAATGGCAGGTTCTAAATCCCCTGGACATGGATCCGGTGCGACAATCCACCTCCAATCGACAAGGGGAGTTGCCAACTCCAACCGTCGGCTCGATGCCCAACAACCGAGAGGCGCTGGATGTTTGGGGCATTAGAGAGAGAAGGAACGAGAACGCGGATAATGATATGTTTGGCAGCGAGCATCTGGAGCCAGGTGATCTCATTGCGCGTTTGGATTCCTATGGATCGTTTAGTTACGGCATTTACGTGCGGTCTGTCCACAAACAGAAGCAGTTCTACATCACCAACGGGAATTGGCGCATTTGCTCTACTATAGAGCTGGACTATGTTATCAAAGGATTTGCCCCACCTGAACTCCTGGAGCCCTTGAAGGAATGGTTCCCAGATACCGAAGCCATTCCACAAGCAGATATCCAGGTGGCCCCCGAGGGAGGTCTCCCCAGGCCAGTGGGTGCTCCTCTCTTGGTAATGATGAGCAATTTCAAAACACATATTGTGGAGTTCTATCGGCAACACTCTCAAGCTTTGGACAATCTGCATGAATTGGTAGCAGATGATTCCGACGTTACCTGCTTGACCCTTGATCAGTTGACAATGACTGCTCTTGGCATTGAGGAGTCGGAACTGAACAGTGTGAATCTTTTTGCTGTTCATCAAGCCGTCCGGCGCCATCCCTTCCTTATTGAAAGAGACAATGTCTCAGTCTTCAGCCAAAACTATCTTGTGCAGCCAAAAACAGTTGCAAAAATGGTCAAGCAGGTTGTTGACTGGACCCATGAACACCAGGATCATTTGGTTCGCTCAGTCATGGGTAAAGACGTGCCCGGGTCCAGGGAACACCCGATGCAGCAGTTTATTTCCAAAGCGCAGCGGTTGATCCGCCTCAGCAGAAAGGTCCGTTCTCCGACAATTATGTCCAGCGTGGGGCCATCTGCCCAGAAGTTCCAGCCTGGTCAAGATGGAAAGCCTTTGGTCTATCGGGAAATGCCTACCGAGACTTTCAATGCAAATGATCAGAAGATTCTTGAATTTCTGCAACTATACGCGGTGCCTGCCACTGTTATGCCGTCCGGCACATTGAGATCAACAGCCACACACATCATGCGAGCGACAGGAATGTACAATACCCTTGGTCTTAGTGAGGCCTCAACCCGGCTTTTCTTGCAGGAACTGGGTGTGATTGCGCCGTGGGAAAATCTCTACCCCCTTGACCAACATTTGATGCTTCCTGGACACGGTGGATCGGTATTGAAGGAGTTGGAGCACGAGGAGATAGAAGAGGCTTGCGCCAACATGACATCTGATCAGCTGCAGGATTCTATGCGAGATCTGAGAAAGGATTGGGGAGATCTCCCTGTCTACTGTGTGGACGATGCAACAGCAGAAGAGATCGACGACGGTGTGTCCTTGGAAAAGATCCCAGGCTCCGATGATACATTCTGGGTGCGCATTCATGTTGCCAACCCAACTGCCTTTTTGAAGCACGATGATCCTATCATGCGGAATGCAGCCTCGCGAATTACCACTGTCTACATCCCGGAACGCAGTTACCCCATGCTTCCGAATACTCTCACTCAGGGCCACTTCAGCTTAGCACCTGGTCGGCCTGTACTTACAATCAGTGCTAAGATGAACCTACAAGGAGAGATTCTAGACACTGAGATCAAAAACGGGAGGATCCACAATGTCATCACGATCACGCATGGCACGCTCCGCAAATACTTCAACAAAACCTCAAAGCAATCCAAGGTGACTCGCACGGTAGGCGGCGAGTTTATCGAACCGCAGTTACCCAAAAACAAGAATGTTCACGAGACTTTGCTTCCCGAAGACGAGGAAAGGTTCAACACATTGCGCCAACTAATGCTCGCATTCCGCCAACAAAGAATCAAAAACGGTGCCATTGAGCTTGCACCATTGCATGCCTCAACTTCTGTATCAGTCCAGACGGGAGGGCCAATGAAGCCATACGAGATTCAAGCCACCGTGGGACGTTACTATCTCGGAGACCCGATCATCAGTCTCGGTCTACACGACTTTGACCCATATGAGGTCCGCGACGCCTCTAAAGACAATCTGATCTCCCTGATAATGAACATGGCCGGAAATGTCACTGGCCGATTCCTCGCCTCCCGCAACATTCCCGCTATCTTCGATGGCACATGGTATGACCCGGAGTACCAGCGTGTCACCAACGAAAACGTGTCCGAATTTGGCGGCAAGAACTTCTACGCTCTCAGTCCGCCGTTGAGTTATGCGAAATCTACTCCTATTCCTCACCATACGATGGGTTTGGACTCCTACGTCAAGAGCACCAGTCCGCTGCGCCGCTACAACGATATCATTGCGCACTATCAAATTGAGGCAGCTCTACGTTTCGAGCACGAACACGGCCGTCAGTTTGATGCCCTTGTTGACAGTCCCGAAGCAACCAAGCCTGCCATTCGAGAAATTGAGTCAGAACCTGCAAATATCGAAGCAGAATCCGACGAATCCGACGAAATCACCCCTTCTATCTCGACCTCGACCTCCACTTCCATCCTCCCTTTCTCCAAAGCCGACCTAGACGCTCAACTCGAGTACCGCGCCCCAGTCCTAGCCCGTCTCCACGATGTCGAGGACTTCTCAGCCCAGCACTGGGTCTGCATGTTCCTCTTCCGCGCATTCTATTTCGCTGAATGTGACCTGCCAGAAACATTCCCCTGTTTGATCCGCCTACCGCGTAACAGGCCTCGACATGAGGCCCCTGGTTATGCGGCTTCAGTCACTAATCTCGGGATAGATTGTACAGTCACTGTTCCGCCATCTTTCCCGGATAGTGATAAGCTTGATGTCTATTCGCTGGTCGAGGCCAAGATTATTTCTGTCGATATGGCTACTCTTCAGGTTACTCTGGAAGCGGTGAAATTCGTCAAGCCGTTTGAAAGGACGGGTGAGTGGGCTTGATCTGATAGATCGGGCTGAATCGATGTTTGTACTATATTGTATTATATTATATCAACGGCATCGCCAGTCATGTATAATTGAACGTGATAGATTTCCACTAAATATCATATTATCATATTGAATAACTTGCCGTACCCGCTGTAACTGAGTTCCTAGTTCAATGAACCACACCGGCAGTTTGCAGATTCTCCTGGAGCCTCTCCTCCGGAGCTCTCTGCTCCATAGGTTGCGAAGTATCTTCCTTCCGGAAGTAGAGATACAACACCTCAAACAAAGCAGCCCCCATCGACATAAAGCTGTCACTCATTAGCACAGTAAATGTTCCCTTATATCCAGAATACTCACAATGCAATGAAACTGAATGCCTCAGCAGCATACTTCCGACTACAGACTACCTCCCCGTTCCAGCGATTCACGCTGCAACTAATGTGGTTGAAATTCAGGGCGAGGAAGATGAATGATGTGAGCCAGCTGATCGGCAGATATTAGCACTGGGTCATAGTTCCATGTGTCTATCTTTACTCACAGGTATGAGATTACCGCGTCGGACATGAGTAAGGGAAGGACATGCCATCTACGACGATTGGCAATGCAGCTTGTGCTCAGCGTTATGGCGCAGAGGACAGGGGTTAATACAGACTATATAAAGTAAGTAGATTAATTGACAAAAGATTAATCTTCACAGAACTTACAATAACCAAGGGAAAAATCACAGCCAACGTCTTGGTCTCCTGGACTGCCCAGGCTGTGATTCCGAGAACGATGATCGAACTGACACATTGGATTATATGGGCGATGGTTGAGACCGTGCCACAGGGATGTTCGTAGAAGCCTATCATTGTGAAGATGTGCCTGGAATTAAGAAGATCAATAATTATCCCCCAAGTTGTGTTTTCGGGGGTGGTGTTGGGCTTTTATGTCAGGGTCCGAAATGTATGATATCACCACATGTGGTGATCCAAAGGACGACCAACGCCCTATTATTTTGGAAACTGGGACTGAGTATGATTTGTTCGTCTGTTGTATTAGTCTACCCCTTTGACTCATACTCGAATTGTTACAGTGCTATTCCGTTCTGTACAAATAGCTCCTGTCATTCCCACAGTGCACCAACCAACAATGAGCAGGCCCAAATGATGGAATTAGCATGATAAGAAAAGTCGATCAAAGAACAGATGCTCTCTGATTAAAACCAAACATTCGCGCAAAGACACTATCATAAGCCCAATTGAGATTGCACAATTCTGAACCTCGAACCAAAAAGGCACTTTTGCCAGCCCATATGTCTGTGGATGGTCCAAAGAAACCATTAGAAGTAATATTCCCAAGACCTGCTTTGAGAATTCATTTGGACCCATATAGCCAGTCTCTAGGCTATGCCATGTGTTGTTGATTTTGGGACGAGACATCTGTACCTGGAGCCTTATACAGACAAGATGAATTGCTGGATCCTCAACATATACATTGCTACATTTGCGCACCTTCCTGAGACCAAGGGTCAACTGGGACATTCCAGTTTCAACGCCTCCTGTGTGCACAAGCATAACATTCACATCGGATGGGCGCAGCTCAACCCTGAGTTCCCGTACATAGAGATCCAGAGCAGCCTTTGTTGCACAGTAAATCGGATGGGTTGGCTAGGGCATAAGACCCAAGAGGCTGCTTGTAAAGACAATTTCTCCTTTTGCTGGAATGGCCACGTCTACAAACACGGGATTCAGTTCAATCACGCTCGCGGAGTTGGTTGTCAGCATTCGAAGGGATTCGGTATAGCTAGCCTCAGTGGCCACGCTTTTCCCGGTAAAGCCATACTTGCGAAGACATTATGCTTGCGAGAGCCCGAGACAGACAAGTTGTTGTCTCTGAAGAGTTTAGCGCGATTGGATATTCAATTCATCCGTCAGCTTCGACGCGTGGATATCGCGTAGTGTACAATCTCATACAAAGCGCCAATCTGCTGCCTCAAGGATTGCACGTGTTTTCTTGCGCCAAATTGGATACCGACGCCAAGAAAAAGGGCGTTGACCAGTACGTCGGTTAAATATTTAGAATTAAATTAAATATATAAAATGAACTAAATGCCAGAGTCTATAAAATAACAAAGAGAGACCCGGAGCATTCCTTGGAGAGCGATCCCAGCTCAAAAATCAATCGGACCCCTTGGCCTCATTACAGTTTCCGGCTTCATATACTTCTCCCCCTGAGGAACGCGCTTCTTCGTCCGAACAGACGGCAACAGGTCAGGAACAATAGAGAACACAAAGAAGGCGAAGATGAGCGCAGCAACTGTCGACGTTAGCGTTTGATATCGTCTCAAGGCGTAAACATAACATACCCCATTCCAGAACAGCACCTGCATTCTTCTTCTCTTTCGAGCTGGATTTCGCGCACACCCCAAATCCGATTGCGACGCCAAGCTCGCAGACGATGAATAGAGACTTGAGATAGAAACTGACTAGCAAGATTCGGGCTTGGGGGTGGTACCATCGACCCAGGTGGATGTATTCCAGACAGACTAGAATAGCGCAGACTACGTAGCTTGCACTGTGAATTGGTTAGCTTTTCTTGATCTTTTGGCTTTTGGTGTACGCGTGGAATGATCATACATGAACATGGCCAGAAATCCATAATGGAGGTGTTGGTGGTGCTTCGTGTCGAAGATGGATAAGAGGATGACGCCCAATGCTCCCGTGAGCGCAAAGAAAATCGACCCAATGGCACACGACTTGTCGAAAAGATCTCTATTCCGTGCTAGTTGGCCGGCGTGTCGAAGCCATCGCTCAGATAGTAGCGACAGGGTCAGGAATACGCCGGTGACTACGCATCCGGCGACGAACAGCGGCTTGAGTCTTTCGGCACCGATGTGGGATATATATCTGACCCAATCAGTTCTTATATTCGGAAATAATATGCAATTGGACTCACGGAATCGAGAGTTTATCGCTCATGGTGGTATAATGTGGCTTGCCGTCCGCCGCCCAGCTGGTAAGCATAGCCACCAGCATAGCTAAATTGTCAGTATAAATAAGAATAAGACATATCAAGACTCAAGTCTCACCTAGCCACATGCATCCTGACACCACGGGGAAAAGCCAAAATGAAAGAATCCACATCGTGTGGTGAGAAGAGAATTTACTCTCCGAGGCGGAATCCCGCGGGTTTGTTTGTCCCTTTCTACACGAAGGAGTGAAAAGAGTGAAAGGATTGGATGCAAGGGTTAGTCCATGGAAATGACAGTGACAACTCCCTCTGTTCCTGTAGGAGGCATGCAAGGGGAAAATTATGTCTATCACGACACCCGACGTCTTGGCGGATCGGCGCGGTTTATGCCCCCACTCACTCGGGGCAATGCCTTGTTCGGGTTGTACAGTTACATGTAGATTGTCTATAGGTCCTTGCAAGTTGGTTGTATCGATTGAAGACTATGAGAGATCAGCATAAAAGGTGTAGATAGACTCAATTATAGATTCTCCATAGCCCGTATCAAATCCTCCAAGGTCTGATGGCTAACACTCCCAGCAGTCGGGACATTGGCCTTGCTAGAAACCCGTTGTACAACATAATCCGCCGAAAGAGAAGCCACATCGGTCGCGGACCACATATCGCTATTCAAATGCTTGAAAATAGATGTCACCTTGATAGGAACAAGGGATGGATCCGGATCATTGGATTTCAGGACCAATTCAATGGTTCGGAGGAAGGCTTTGCATAATCGACCCCAGCCGAGACTCATGTGCCATAGACCGACGACGCAGCTTTCTAGGACGAGGGCCCATTTGGGGTTGTGCCCGTCTAGTTGGGAGGTCGCATGTACGCCGGCTAGACAGAAGTAGTGTAACATTACGATTGGGATGGATTTCCAGCCGTGGCGGTGTTTGAAGATTAGAATAAGGGAGCCGATTGTTTCCATGGCTTCGAATTTGACGTGGTCGAAGTCGATTTTGTTATGTTCGCCGGTGTCTGTGATTGGGCTTGCTTTTGTGGTGAACAGGGTACTCAGGGATATTAGAGTTGCTTGGTAGTAAAAGCTGATGGGTCAGTATCAAGTTTGAAATTGGAGGAAGATACTCACTGTAAGCAGAGGATATGCGGAGTGGTATTACTTTCAGGCAAGACAGCTGGAGGCAGGCTTGCTTTCCAGGTGACCATCCTTTTATATAGTATGTAGCAATATTCCTGGTCGTCCTTGGTCATAGTTTCGGTAACTCTGAGTGAAAATGCCGCAACCTCATTCACGATGGCTGCCAGGGCACTTCTATATCGTAAGGTTGTATAGTAGTGTGGACGAGAAACCGGCAAGTCGAAAGGATAGGGCTTCCATTCTATATCCTCATCAAGTCTGGCTGCCTGTTGGGCCGAGCAGCGTTGTGGCGGAGGTACCGGCCAATGAGACACCTTTCTGTAGACCTGCGAGGCGAGTCTATTCCTAGGTTAGTGATTTCCATAAAGGATAAAGGGAGTTCCCACGCTTGGATATCGAAAACCGCCCACGAGACCATCTCCTGGGACAGTTCGGCGGAGGAAAGTTGATTTTCTTCCTCGCTATGCTCATTATAGTGTTCAACCGTATCATATCCTGATTGGAGATAAAACTTTGCTCCATTCATGATAAACTGAGTGCCCAGTCTATCGACTCCGAAGGTACAGGAGAGCAATCCGAGTAGAATCCCAGATTGGATTGTAGGAAGATCCGGGGTCCCCTTGTCATTTTCCCAGAGCAGCTGTATTTGGTCGTAAAGCTTCTGGCCCAGGCCTTTCTCCTCTCGTCGATCAGTAATCCGGTTGAGTCTGTATGAAAAGCTCTACGGATTGTTAGAAGAGATCGTCAATCAAGTATAAGAATAGGCATACACAGCCGAAGAATAGCAGAATATGGACCAACAAGCGAGAACAATATCTTCCCGGGTAGTGGGTCTCCAGATCTTGGAGAAACATGTCCAGATCGATCAGATTCCAGGTTGGGTTCTCCCACGTGAAATAGAAAGACAACAGGTGGCTGGCGGTGTCATTTTCGACAATTGAAGTCCAAAACTTAATGGAATTCACTCGGACTGGAGGATCCTTGGTGATTGGCCGTTTCAACTTTGCATTGTCGGACATCGACTGATACATCTGGCCCAGCGAGATCTTCGAGTTGGGCACTTGGACATAGTGCTTCGTCAATGACTCTGAAGCTAGGATATCCGAGAATATCTCCGGAGATGCCGTGAAGTGTTTCTATCTGTTCAGTCACTAGTTCATACAGTACGAGTTGATCTCGAACCTTGATGATATTGTTGACAGAGATCCTCTCATTGATGGTGGCCTGAGCGAGAATCTCACCGAGCAATGCTTCGTAGACCTCGACTTTGCGTTGCAGAGATTGAAGCTGAAGCTTCTGGTTGTCCCTCTTTGATACCGTATAGGTACAGACCCTGTCTAGGTGGATACAGTTCAAGCATCTAGGGCGTTGACCGTCACATTTCGCCTTTTTCTCTCGGCAGGCCGAACAAGCGGAAATTGTCCGGAAAGGATGGATTCCAAGGGGCTCATTTGGTAGCCGAGGGATAGCAACCTTGCCCTCGACACCATTTAGAGGTGTGGAAGTCGATTTTTGATCGCCAGAGGAAGCGCCACTCATTGAATCAGGGATAGCTCTGTGTTACTAGCGCACACGCGCACTGCAGAGTCCTCCAGTTGGTCGCACAAATTGTGGCGTAAAATCTCGGGATCCAATTCCTGTACTGTGTATGGGCGGAACGCCAAGCCGGCAGATGCCATGGTCACGTGGCACGTCCACGCCAACGTGTGGCAGTTTTTGTATACAATATCGGCATCAGATATCAATCTGGCTCAAGGGCCAAGGGTCAAGGGTCAAAGTCAAAAGGTCAGAGTTCAGCGAGCAAAGCAGGATGCATGTGCTATATCACGTGATGAACTTTGTATAGATCGCAATGACGTAACCCAAAATCAACAACACCTCCCATCACCTCACATCTCACTGCATTGCGTGGATTGCGTGGATTGCATGGGTTGCATCTTGTCCAAAGGAGTCCAGATACAAATTCTTGTCTTTGACAAACTGTTTGAAGGTAGAATCAGCTACAGGTGGCTAATCCAGCCTTATACGTCGATCATTACGTGCAGGCACGCAAGTTGGGGTCTGGACATGTAGATCTATACGACCGATGATCTCATGTCTTATATTGCACTCCGGTTGGCCAAAAGTGACAAGATGAGAGAGAACAAGTTGGAATATTCCCCAGGTACTTGGCGAAACAGGGCCTACTTGAAACATGACGCCATCCCTGTACACAGCGCCACTGAACCTGAACTTGAATGAACCTGAACCTGAATTGGATGTCAACATCAACATGGATGTCGACCTGTTTGCTCATCATTTCCCCTTTTAGTATCTGTGACAGAACCCTGAGCAAGTGGCTGGAATTACCTATGGACCTGTGCCAATAATAGAGCTAAAGGCGTTTGATCTCATTGACATTGCTTGATACACAGCAGGCAGCAAACGTCACTCATTTGTTTGAGTATCACATAAATACCCTCACTTCTCCCCCGACTTCTTCCCTCATCACCCTCCACTTCATCAACCATCTTTCACAACTTTGATATTATCTACCTTTATTATGGATTTCGTTCGCAAGGCTGAAGAGGCCTTGACTGGCAAGAACAAGGAGTCTAAGGAGTCGACCCAGTCCTCCAACCATGGCCCTCACTCGTCTAACTTGGCCAACAAGCTTGATCCCCGTGTTGACAGTGACCGCGGTATGCACCCTCCCCTCACCCGCCAGCAACATTGATACTGACTGATATTCTGCTATAGACAACCGCGCTGCCCACACTGGTGCCCACCACACTGGTGCTACTGGCACTACTGGCACTACCGGTGCTACCACTGGTGCTACCACAGGAACCACTGGCACTAGCACTACTGGCCACAACTCCAGTATTGCCAACAAGCTAGACCCCCGTGTTGATGCTGATGCTGCCAATCGTGCCAATGCCACTTCCACTGGAACCACTGGCACTACTGCTACTCACGGTACTCATGGCACTACCGGTACCACTGGCCTGACTGGTACTGGTACCCACGGCAACCACGGCAGCACCAACGCTGGCCCCCACGGCTCCAAGATCGCCAACAAGGCCGACCCTCGCGTCGACTCTGACCGTGACAACCGTGCTAAGCATGACACCTTTGGCACCACCACTGGTACTACCGGTACCTCTGGCTTGACTGGTACTCACGGTACTGGCACCACTCATGGCACCTCTGGCCTGACTGGCACCCAAGGCAGCACCAACGCTGGTCCCCACGACTCGAAGATCGCCAACAAGGTTGACCCCCGCGTCGACTCTGACCGTGATAACCGTGCTAAGCACGATACCTTTGGCACCACTGGTGCTTCTCACGGTACCTCTGGCCTGACTGGCACCCACGGCACCACTGGAACTACCGGAACTACTGGTACCGCTGGCCTGGCTGGTACCCACGCCGCCACTGGCACCGCCCACACTGGCAGCACCAATGCTGGCCCTCACGACTCGAAGATCGCCAACAAGGTCGATCCCCGCGTCGACTCTGACCGTGACAACCGTGCTAAGCATGATACCTTCGGCACTACTGGTACTACCGGTACCTCTGGCTTGACTGGTACTCACGGCACTGGCACTACTCACGGCACCACTGGCCTCACCGGCACCCACGGCAGCACCAACGCTGGCCCCCACGACTCGAAGATCGCCAACAAGGTCGACCCCCGCGTCGACTCTGACCTCGACAACCGTGCCCAGCACCACTCCCACACCACCGGCACCGGCACTGGCATTGGAAGCACCACCCAAGGCACTCACGGCCTCGGCTCGGCTGGTTTCGATCCTCAAATTCACGGCGATACTACTGCCACAGGAACTGGTACTGGCTCTGGCATAACTGGCTCTGGTCTTGGTTCTCATGCTCAGGGTGCGCCTGCTGGTAGTTCTTACACCAACCCTACCACTACCACCACTGGTGGTCTTGGTTCTACTGGTACTACTGGTCACGATTCCAAGATTGCGAACAAGCTCGATCCTCGTGTTGACTCTGATGCCAAGCGTGTTGAGCAGGATGGTTTGCAGCGCCAGTTCTAGATGCTGCGCCACTTTCTCTTACGGCTGTTTACCACCCCGATTCAGTTTGTTTCAGACACTGGATCTGTGATATGATGTTACGACTTTGATCTTTCAGCAAGCAAACTCGTTTCTTTGGATAGGATAAGATACACAAATGAATTTCATTTTTTACTAGATTGCAGTGAAGTAGATTAGTGTACATTTGAGTAGAGAGCAACTGGCCTCTAGCCCGCCAATGAATAATATGATAAAGTACAGTGTTGTTTTTGTGTCTAATCAAACATCAAAAACCTCTTTAATAAGCGCCTTCTTATTAACTGCAAATAGTCAGCATCATCCATACACATACGACCCTTCCAACCAAAGAAGAACTCACCCTTTCCCATGGCATTCCTGGGAATAGCATCCAAAACCTTCATCTCGGATGGAATCTTATAAGAAGCCAAACGTTCCTTCAATGCTCGTCTCATATCCATCGGACCCCAAGACTTCCCATTACGACTTGAAGTAGCAGCATCGGGATGGAGGACGACGACCGCAGCAACTTTCTGTCCCCATTGTTCAGAGGGGAGGCCGACGACGGCTGCTTCGGTGATTTGGGGACTATAAGATGCGATTAGCGAGTCACAAAACAAAAGGAGAATGCAAAAGAAAGATAAGAAAAGAGAGGAAACATACAGCGAAAGCAACTCCCTCTCAACCTCCAACGCGCTAACCTTCTCCGCGCCCGTCTTGATAATATCAACACTCTTCCTCCCCTGAATGAAATACATCGGTCCCTTCGCCCACTCTCCACTCCCACCACGTCCAGCCCCGTCAACAACCCTCCTCGTCGCTACATCACCCGTACAGAACCATTTCCCTTTTCCATCCTCACCACCCACGAACCCCTCGCGTGTGGCTTTCTCGTTACCCCAATACTCACTGAAAATAGTCTCGCCCCGTAACTGGATCTCGCCTTCACGTTCACGGCCTTGAGCGTCGACTTCGGCGCCGGGGGGAATTACTTCGCCCGTTTCGGTGTCGACTAGACGTGCTTCCACGCCTGGGAGGGGCCAGCCGACGCTGCCGTCGACTCGGTCGGCAGGGTCGAGGCCGCAGCTTATTGCCATGCCGACTTCTGTCATGCCGAAGCGTTCGAGGAGGATGTTGCCGTTGCTTAGGGTTGACCAGGATGTTTTTGTTGGTGTTGGGAGGGCGGCTGAGCCTGAGATGTTTAGGCGGAGGTTTTGAGGGGAGATTCCTTCTTTTGCGGCTGTTTGGGTTTCTGTTGGGAGGTTTTGGAAGGAGTTTAGGAGTCTGTTGTAGATTGTCGGGACGGCGGTTAGGAAGGTGATTTTGGATGGAGGAGTGGTGGTGGTGTTGCGTTGGAAAGGTGCTGCTAGGCGTTTCCAGACTTGGTCTGTGTTGAAGGGGTACATGAATTCGATGGATGTGCCTGCTACTATTGGTGCCACGATTGCATTTACTACACCGTGGATGTGGTGCAGTGGTAGTAGGTGTAAGAGGCGGTCATCGGGGGAGTACTTCCATGCTTGTAAGAGGGATGAGGCTTGTGCTGCCAGTGCCGATTGTGGAATGAGTACGCCTTTCTATATACGGGTTAGATGGGTCTGTCTTTGGTTGGAATGGACATGAACGTACTGGTCGATTGGTCGTGCCAGATGTGTATAGCATCATTCCACCAGCAGGCTTCTTCAGCTCCTCCAAAGTGACACTCTCACGAGCAGCACCCTCCATGAGCTTATTGCGAATATTGAACAAAGGCTCACGTTCCAACCCCTGATTCAGGATATCCATAGCCTTGCCGGCATATTTCTCAGTGGCAAGCAATACCTTTGCCTGCGAATTATCGAGAATATACTTCAATTCTCGTGTCGGAAAAGAAGGCGACAGCGGCAGCGCAATAGCATCACTCGCAAAGATCGCCAACAAGGTCACTGCAACAGTCAATGTTTATCCATCAGACAGCAGATACAGAAGACAACAGTACCTACGTAGTCGTAGCTATTCTCCGCCAGAAACGCAACCCGCTCACCGGCCAATTGACCCTGCGCCTTGGCAGCTTCGCGCTCGAGATCATCCTTGGCCGCGACAACATCGGCAATTAAACTCCCGTATGTAAATGAGCGGGCGGACAAACTGTGAACAACAGCCAGACTGTCCGGGTCGTGGTCTCGGAGTGCGCGGAAGATGTGCGTGTTCGGGAGAGTCGATAGCTGTCTGAGGGCGAAGGGCATGCGACTGACGCGCGCACGCGAATAGCGCGAGAGTAGCGAGATCATGGGCATGTTGGAGGTTGGTTCGACATCAATTGCCTCTGCAATTACATCCCACTTGTAGGAGGGAAGTCGGCCAAGTTGATGTCATGAGGGAAGTTCCGAAATCAAAAACATCCGATTGGCCTCGCTTTGCTCCTTCACCTCTCCATCCAAATGCTTCCTCGCTGTCTGCCGGGTCTGATTCCCCGTCGTCTGTTCTCTGTTTCGGCTAGGATGGCTTCTATGACTCCGTTGGAGGATGCCATGCGCGACAAGGTGAGTTTACTGCCAGAGGGTGTATGGCATGGTGCATGGTGGGTTGCTAACTCTTCTCTTCTCTTTCTAGATCGCCCATGCCTTTACACCCTCTACCCTGATTATCCGCAATGATTCCCACAAACATGCGCACCATGCTGCCATGGAGGGATCGACGTCGAAGGAGACGCATTTCCAGTTCGTCCCATGCCGGTGTCCATACCGTGTCCCCGCATGCCTTGGAGTCGGACTGACACCCTATTTCTGTTTCTAGTGTGACGATTGTTTCGGATTCCTTTGAATCGAAGATGCAGCCTGCTAGGCATCGGATGGTCTACGCGTTATTCAAGGAGGAGATGGCTCGTGAGGGCGGACTTCATGCGCTGCAGCTGAAGACGAAGACACCGGCTGAGGAACAGCGCGAGAAGGAGAAGGAGAAGGCATAAACAAATATGGATGGCGTTTGAGTGATCTATTATAGTCAGATACCCCTCGAATGCATTGCATTGGGCTTTGGTTCACCATACGCTTGCACTTAAGTTACACCTACAAATACACATGCACATACACAAAGAAATCAATTATTAGACGGTATTACATAGATTCTAGCGCCAAACAGGAGCCAACACAGAAAATAATCTAGTATATACATCCATGCGCAGCGACCAAGACGGGTGGGCGCGAGCAGCTGTACAACACGAACAGCTAAGCAAAGACAAAAGGAAAGCACGATTTGAAGGCATTGCTTTTACACAAGAGAGAAGAAAATGCGAGGGTGGTGGTATAACAACAAGGGGAAAGACAAAGGGAAGATGAGGCCGGTCGTACAGGGAATAAATCAGTTCTTCTTGTTGGACTCGACGACACCGACGGCGACACCGACAACGATGGCAATGATGATGACTGGGGAGGTTAGCGGGGCAGACGCATTCGGAGTAGAGATACTTACTAACGATGATCAACGCGTACCACTTCCAACGCCGAGCGTTCTTTGCGCTCTGGATGGCGCTGCTCAACTTGGTGTTGGCTTGCTCGACGTTGCGGTGCGTCTCCTCGGCGCCCTGGTTGATTTGCGCAACTGCCGGCTCCTGCTGGTGTACCAGCTCGGCGACTTCGTTGTACAGCTCGCTGAGTGCGATGAGGTCTTGTTCGATCTTGCGAATGGCGGCGGAACGCTGGAGAGTGGCCTGGCGGGCATCGTTGGCCTGGCGAGTACGGGTACCGGGAACCTATTTGGCAATTAGAAGTGATCATAGAAATCCGAGCAGCAGTACATACCACAAAGCTCTGCTCTTGACCCATCAGGACGTTCTGCACACCCTGCTCCAACTCCTCGGGGGTAGCCTCGGGGTTGGCGATCTCGTATCGGCGGCGCACTTGCTCCTCCAGACGCTTCTGGAAGTCGGTCTGTGTGCGCTGGTACTGCTCGATCTCACGGCGGAGGTTGCGGCTGACGTTCTCGACCTGGCCCGAGACACGGCTGTCGCCTGATCCGGGGGTCTCCTTGATGCGCTTGAACTGATCGCGCAGGTAGCGCAGGGCAGTGTTGATCTCATCCTCAATGTAGTCAAGTGTCTGACGCGAAGCCTGGTCCTCCTTTCCGGTGCTCGAGTCCAGCAGGGCCTTTTGGGCGTGGGCCAGCTGGGTCTCGCGCTTCGTGGTCAACTCGGCGATACCTTCGTTGAGTTCCTTGCACTTGTTCAAAATCGCAGTCGGCCCGCCACCGGAGGGCTGGTTGACGTTGGACATTTCTGTTGGCGTCAGCGCGGATCACGACGCGGTCGAATTGAAACATACCGTAGCCACCGTTTCCAGTCTCCACGGCATCGGCCTGGCCGTAGCCACCCCCATATCCATAGCTCTGCTGCTGGCTGCCATAGGGATTCTGCTGCTGGCTGCCGTATGGGTTGTACTGGCCGTAGCCCCCTTGGTTGTTATCCCCCAAGCTCTGGTACTGGGGAAAACCGGGTCAGTCCCATACATCCACACATTCAAGGTTTCACAGGTTCACTCACACTCATGATTGCGGAATGTGTTGTGTAGTAAGGTACAAAGGGGGGAAGATGAAGGAGGGAAGGGTGAGACGGGAGATGTGGAGAGTGGCAGAAGCGCCGGCGGTAGACCAATAACAGAAAGATTAAAGATTAAGGAAATTAAAGGATAAGTGAAAGAATAAAGAATAAAGAATAAACGTTAGAGTAATAAAAGGGATGTCCAAGTCAATTGGGATCCCCCTATTTTATTGGATTTTCGTTCCTGCGTATTCGTACAGCCTCCTTACGTGGAGCGCAGAGATTGACCCTGGCGGTTACTATTTCTGACGGATCGGCCGTTGTACTGAGTACTTGGCTGTTGGTAGTGTGGCCCACTCTGAGACATGTACCAAGTACCCACGTCAGGGTCTGGTCTTCACGTCATGATTATGATCTATCCAGAGATACATACCTATGTAATGTCTATTCCAATGTCATTGCAAGTGAAATACTCTGTTCAATAGAATATTGCAACCTATTCAGGCGGAAATAGCACGCGCAGGCAACCGGATATCGTGGATGAAGACTCCGACAGTGTACGACTGGGCCAATCAGCTGAAGATGCCAATGCTAAGCCTCGTTAGTTCTCAGATCTCAGCTTGACCTTTCTTGGTGATTTTGGTGTCTACTAAACAGATACATATAGAGCAATGGCCTAATTCTAACTGGCAGCATCGTTTACGCTCCAAGTCTCCTACAAGGTGGCAAGTGGTGTGTGGACTATATAAGCGCTCTATAGGCGCCAGTCTACAACAGCCGAACTCTTCTCCTCAAATCCACACGACTAGCGCCAGATTAATATAGTAGCCGCCTACAAATCTAAATATATGGGGAGGTGAATCAAGGTATCCAAATACCTCTAGGTTCAAAAAGTGGGTGGCCTGGCAGCCAAAGTGTATGCCTAGCAGTAAACTCATCTACCTCAGACCTTGCCGCTTTTTGCTCACTGAGCAGATCTGAGCGTCGGGGTGAGCAGCGACAGCGACCTCAATAAAATGCACTACGCTAGCCCGACTTACGTGCCATCTTCCCTCACTAAATCACCCCCATTGTCTCATCAAAAATGTATTGGCATCATCAAAATGACCATTCATCCTGGTAATCTTACTGCAGTCAATTGCGCCACAATAGAGCCTGCTACTTGGTCAACCAATCAGTATTGCATTTTATACTACATGCTCCTAGAAACACTCCTACTACCTCTATGATCTCATAATCAGGCTTTGGATGACTGTTGGTGTCAAGGGCAATTAGATGAGTCTGCTCTGACATTTGCATTCTACTCTGGGTTCTTGACCAACGGTGACAAAGTTTGCGGAATTTGACGGTAAAGCCACCGCTCGCGCCAATAAGCTCGTGCTTCTATAGGCAATCGTCATCTCTTTGTGAGGCTTCAAGCATTTGGCTCCTAGGAGCCGGCCCGACCTTAGATAGTTCTAAGACACGCAAGCTAACTTCCTGGACCAATTTCCATTCACTCATAGTCAACCAGATTCCTAGAAACTCAGGCTGTTTACGACCCCTAAGATAACTGCCTAGCGTGTCAGAAATATGGGGCGTTATTCCAACTTGGATATATAAATGAGTACACCTTCCTCCTTTCTTCAATAAGAATAAATACTTGTCGCTCTCTTTTGATCAGAACCTAGTTAGGCGCCACGCTCAGATAACACAGTGAGTTTTCTCTCAGATTTCTGGTTTTGCGAAGCGCCGACTAACCCTGACCCTAGCTTGTTTGCAATGACCGAACCAACGAACATCAGCACTTCCACTGCGCAATCCGTAAAAGCGGCCTAGTCTAGTGTTATTGCCCTCCTAGAAAGCATCAAAAGCAGCCGAGTATACAACCGGAGCTGTCAAAGAGCTTTTCTATCGGCTATCGTCATCAATAAAACACTAGGGGAGCTTGCATCGGCTTTTGACCAATCAGGTTCTTGTAGGCTCACTCAAGAAGTCCAGTTTCACCTTTAGATAGCAATCTGGACAAACCAAGATGCCTGTGCAAGATACTAGGAGGCTTTCAACGAATGGACAAGTCCACTTATCAACGACACTCTGCACAACTCGAATTGGCATCTTCTCGGTGCCTTCGTGGATATACACTCCCAAATTCTGAGCGAAAGGCTACAACTACTGGAAGACACCATAAATATGGTGATGGAAATCTACGCATTGTATGTTAGCTTCAATTCCTTTGTTCTTCCGATAACCAGCTCACTGACTTTTTTCGCCAGATTGCCTGCATTTTTCACCTCGAAGAATGTCTCCGACGAACAGTGGAAGTCAATACTGGCAAAGAGATCGCCTTGCTTTCTGCACTTATCAAAGCAAACGAAAGTCAGCAAGCACATCAGCTCAAAGAAAGGGCGGCCGAACGCATTTCTTGCGAAATCAAAGGATATGGCATAGCAATGCAACACCACCGATAAATCCTTGACGAATTGCTGACCGACTTTCGTCAGCTACGATGGGGACAAATAAATGATACTACGAACGACGATCAGCTTCCGCGTGCTATCAGTAATTTGCCTCATGAGATCTAATGGTCCTACCACAACGGCGTTATTCGGATGAATGGAATTGTGATAGCTAGGTCTTAGGGGGCATATGATGATAACGATGCTCCATCGGCTCTTATGGTTCATGCCGATGCTCTCTCAGAGATAGCTGGCCGAGTAAGGTGATTTTACCAATGGCGGCTAGCAGGTTGCTCATGCACGTTATTATTATGCTAGAATAAGTCAGTCCCTCTAGTGTCTATTCTAGGCGAGAGTTTGTCAAGAAAAATTTCTAGAACAGCCAGTTCCATCTCTCCTTGTTCACCTCGATAGGCCTTTTTCTCATATTGGGGCTTTGAGTGGCTCTTGACGTTGCTCAACTTGTTCAGAACATATTCAAAGATAGACATACCAGGGCGACTTTAGGCCTGCCTGAGATATTAGATTGAACGTTCAACCAGTTAATCGGTAATGTTTCGCTTCTGTTAGGGCTATGCAAACCCGTAATACAGTACAATACAATACAACAAGTAAATACAGATGGAAAACAGTGTGTATTGATATGTAATTCTCCTCATACACGTCACGCCTGAAATCCCTCCATGGCGGCTTCCACCACCGAGCGCCAGTGGGCCACGCGGTCCTGCGCCTGGCCTCGCGGGCACACCTCGACAATGGCTCGAATGTGATTGACCGCTGTCTGCATCATCTCTTGCCTTGCATTCAGCTGAGTCTGCTCCAAAATATGCTCTGCCCCCTTTTCGCGGCAGATTTGCTCAAACAATTGCTCCATGCGGGTCTGCTCTGCCTTATCGTCAGGGTCCCATTTCATGTTCCACAGGAATGCCCGCGGGGGGTTCCACCTCGGGCCGGGAACCACCCCGCTGAACTCCCAGTCTAGGACCGCGGTGATTGGACACCCTGGCTGGTCCGGGTCGCACATGATGTTGGCAAAATGCATGTCTTTGTGTGCCATGATGTAGGCGACGCGGTTGAGCTCTGCCTGGTTGTCTGGCCGCCGCAACTGCGCCATGAACTCGCGGATCCGGGGAATCAAATCGCGGTAGGGCTCCAGAGAGGGATGGACCTCGATCGCGTGGATATACCGCTCGAGGCAGCTGTTCGTATACGCCGTGTAGCTAGGGAACCCCTCGGCTGGTATGGGATTGAGACTTTCGAGTGTCTCCGTACTCTTGACTCCGGCCGAGGCAGACCAGAACTTGTCCAGGTCAGGAGTCTGCCAAAAGTTTTCGTCGATGGGTGGTCCGGAGGCAATCTCGCCCGTCGGTGTCAGGGTCAGCCCGCCCACGTACCCCTCATGCCAGGGTTGCGCATGCAGCTCGATCAGATAATCCGTCAGTTGGTGGACCATCTGCTTCTTGACCTCGTCGGATAGCGTTGCATATATCTGATCGACGCTGATGCCGGACGCTTTCTCGAGTAGGGTGAACTCATATCCGATCACGTTGTTCTCCGTCGCATCGTACCGGATGATGGCCGGTACGGGAATGGAGGTATGCTTGCCGACCCAGGTCATGACGCCCACCTCGTTGCGTGTCTTGATGCCGGGTAGCTGCCGTCCAGAGACGCGCAGCACGAGCGTAACGGTGCCATCCTTGTTTCCTCGTGCTGTGATACCTTGTGCTGAAGCGAAATGGATGAGATAGATGGAATGAAAGGCGGCTTTAACCTGCAGGGGCTCGATGGAGCTTGGCGCAGGGAGGTCCAATGATAGGATCAACGAGGTGATAGTCTCCGCGCTCAAGGCAGGAGGCAGATAACTATCAGGGGCGCCCATTCTTCTTGTAAACAAAGATGGCGAGGTCTCGCAAGCGGAAGATATAAGTTTGGTGGGTTGCCCAGGGTCAAAGAGTGCGTAATAGAACGGCGTCTTTGTATTGTAAGCATTATAAACAGAGTACTGTAAATTACAGATACATATGCAACTCGTTACATTCACGGAGACAAATGCCGATCGGTCATGCATATAACCAAAAAGTGACTTGGAATCAGGGAGATAGCAAATTGGCCCCTTATCAGCGCTCTCAGAGGTTGTCAACTGTCAGTCAATTGACTAATTATCTAGAAAAATCACCCCACTTTGCGGCCATCCGCCATGGTGATGACAGAATCCATCCAGGCGACACTGGTTGCTCGGTGCGACACACAGAGGACCGTACTATCCCGGAAGGACTGCTGCAGGATTCGCTGGATAAATCTGCTGAACTCTCATTCAGAGACATTCTATAGCCCGAGACATGCCTATCAACTAGCAAGCGTTTAACACACGAAATATAACACTTGACCACTATCCTTGTCCCACCATCTATAAAACACCCATGCAGTGTAAGTAGGAGAACGTCAATATCTAACATACTGTATTCCAGAGTGGAATATTCCATATCTGTGATACCAAATTGCGGGGGGCTGTCACATCGTATCACATGTCTTACTATATCTGAACTAGCTGTAGACATGTATACATAAAGGGTCTAGGTTAAAGCTGGGTTGAGGGTACATACATGTTCACTGCGCCAGATCAGGCCTGGATCAGCCCCAGATCCAGGTGTGCGTCCTGTCCACATCATCACTTATGCGACTTGCTCGTATTTGGTTGCTTGTTGTAGTGGGGAATGCAACATGATCTTACTTTCGCCTCTTTAGTCACTGGTTTGCAGCTTGCTTTGTGGGTGCCCTTTATACATGCTTGTTTCCGTTGTAGCCATGGTCTTGAGTATTGAATGTGCATACCAGTTTGATCATATTGGGGATAATGCTTAAGCACTAAGATACTACAAAGTATCCCAGAGTGGACCATTATAATAGATGAGGCGAAGATAAACATTAGTAAACATAGACAACGTAAATTAAAATCATCGATTTATTTATTTATATAATAAGTATAAGTATATACTAGATTATGATCATATCACGTCTCCGGATTTGCAAAAGAGTAACCTGCTCCAATGATGCAAGCAAAATACGACTCCAGCGTAAGTGTATGAAAGATGCGAAAAACACCAATCACAAAATGCAGGCGTGAAAATGGTGGGAATATAGCCAAATGATAAATTACAAACAACACAGACACTCAAGCTTAGATCTTGGGTGCGGACTCGCGACGGGATTCGCGGCGAGACTCGGCGATGGGGGCCTCGGGCATATCGTCGTCGGCGTCGAGAGCGTTCATGTCGTCTTCCTTTGCGTTGAGGTGGTGGAAGACCATGAAGAAGATCAGGCCGCAAACGAATGAGGCACACGCCAGACCGACGAACATCCACATGATGGCGGGATCGAAAGCGGCTGGGGTCAGGGCCTCGGCGATGGCGGAACCGAAGGCGTTGGTGAGGAGGTACATGGACTGCACGAAGGACTTCATGCTAGGGGGAGCCTTGGTGTAGGCGTACTCGAGACCGGAGACGGAGGCGAAAATCTCGGACACACCGATGAATACGTAGGCCGGGGTCTGGATGGCGATGTGGACCTGGTTACCGTAGGCAGTGCCGTCAATCTCGGAGGCAGCGCAGAGCGGCTGGCCGTAGCAGGGTCCGGCGGAGTAGATCAGGTGCTGGACGATGGCGGCGTACATCATGGCCAGGGCGGCAACGATGAAACCAAGGGAGATACGGGTGATGGGGCGGAAGGGGATCCTGAGACGGCGCATCAGGGGGTAGACGCAGGTCTCGAGCAGGGGAATGAAGACGATGATGGAGATGGGGTCGAAGTTCTGCATCAGATCGTTGGGGATACCGTGACCCTCCATCTGACCGGCCTGGGTGACGAAGTTGCCAGAGAACTGGCCGTAGACGACCCAGTAGATGGGGTAGAAGGCGAACACACGGCAAGCAACAAGGGCACGCTTGAGCTCGTCGATGAAGTGGTCGTCCCAGGGCATGGAAGCCTGGATCCCGCGGTGCTCGGCTTGCCATGAAGGCTTGGGGGCGTCCATGTTGCGGTTGCGGATCATGATCCAGAGGGCGCGGAAGGCGTCGGTGATGATGGATCCCTGGGGAGGGCGGACGACATAGTACTTGCGGCCGAGGACGACCACCAGGGTACCGACCATGAACATGCACAGACAAAGCAGATAGGCTGACCAGAAGCCAACATAGAGCTCCATGTAGGGAGTGGCGAGGAGAGACAGGGAACCGAGGTTGATACATCCGTAGAAGATCATGTAGATACGCTGGATAGTCAGGGCGGGGTCGATGATGACGCGCTCACCCTTCTTGGTGGTGGTAACGGCCATCTTCTTGCGCTTGTACTGGTCTGCAATCAAGGGTGCCACGTTACTCTTGATACCACCGGTACCCAAACCGATAATCAAGATCGACACGATGAAACCACCCAGACCGGAGCCGTGCTCCAGGGCGCCAGGAATGGAGGTACAGACCAGGATGAGCAGACCGACCATGTAGACAATACAGAAGAGCACAATAGTCTTGTACTTGCCAAGGTACTGATCGGCGATGATGGCACCAATGATGGGAGTCACATAACACCAGAACTGGAAGAAGGTGGTGAGACCAGTGGCACCCTGGTGATCCATGCCCAGAGCACCGCGTCCCTGACTGCCATCCAGCGGACGCTGGACGTAGTTCTGGAACAGACCCGACATTCCGTAGTAGGTGAAACGCTCGCACAGCTCGACCACGGCCACCAACCAGGCGGAGATGGGCAGGTTCTCGGCGATATGGCGCAGAGACGTCTTCTCGTGGAGAGTCGGTTCTCCGCCATCTGGAGTCACTTGGTTCTCCTTATCCAAATCTACATCCATGGCGGCCTTTTCGTTCACGACGATCTCCTCGATGGGGACATTGTTTCCTGATCTGAAACGTAGGGTTAGCATGACTCGGAAAATTTCGAGTCAAGTCATTGACATACTGAGCAAGCTCAACCTCACGCTCGGTCGACATGACGGCTATTAGACCAGATGCGTTTTCTCCAGAAGAGCAGGAGAGAGGGCGATCAGAGGAATAGAGAGAAGAGAAAAACGGGCGACCGTGACCTTATACTATATATGCAATTTCCATTACCCAACGTGCGAGAGCCTCGGTGGGGAAAACCCGTTCTTATCGAACCGAAAAGTAAAAGAAAATAATAAAAAGGACTAAATCTCCTTCATCTCCGCCGCTAGAGCCATCTGAGAAGGTCGAAATTGGCCCATTGTTCGCAGGTCAACCGTGGACGCGATCGGCAGTATCTATCGCACAACAGCGAGTGGCTCGGTCCACGGATGTAACCCCACGGCAAAAGCGGAAAGCGAACGAAAAGTCGCAGATGGCGACAAGCAATATGCCGAGCACGCGCAGAGTGGAACTCGCCGGGTTCAATCAGAGGTTGCGCTTTGGTCTGGCGTTTGGCATCTGGGGATTCTCGAAGGGCTCCCCTGTTATCGTTGACGAATCAGGTTGGCGCTTCCAGTCGGAGATTGCCGGTGAAGCTGAAAATTTCCCAGATAAGTAGAGTACTTCCGGTGTCTTGCCACGAGATAATTATTTTTTACCCGGAGTCCACTCCTTGCTCCGGTTTCAATCATCAATCATCGGAAGATATTCGGGATCTGAAATTTTGACCGATGCGGGTATCGCGTGATTGTGGTTGAAATCATGGACTTGGGCCTGGACATGGTGTACATGTACATGTGAAGGTACACTGTTTGCGGGCGGAAAGTGGTGGGTGTTACAGGCTCCCAAGGTTTGGACTTGTTGCTTGTTAATTGCTTGTCGGGATTCCCCTGGACCGCCACTTTGGCCGCATGCAACGTTGGGGCTGTTCCCCGCGTGCTTATCACCTGTCAACAACCAATGTGCATCGTAGCCTCTGTCCACTCTTGTTTGAGTTTCGGAGATGTCTCACTGGTGAGCTCCCAGTGCTACCTACCCCGGAGTTGTCATGCTCTCGCGGGGTGATGGGTTCCAATGATGGTTCCGAGAGTAGCCAGCCAGTAGCCAGCCAATGCGAGAAGCGAGGGGGAGTCGTCGCTGCTTGCGGTCAAGCAGTCGGTTCAAGCCGTGATATCCGGGGTAATTATTCTCTCGTAACAGCGTGTCCTAGTGTGTTCAGATGTGTGCAATTGAGTCGGTGGATCAAGTGCGCCAAGGCCCAAGATAAGGATTGGTCATGATGAGTAGTCAGCTCTGGTGGTCAGTGATGATCAATGATGGTCAGTGATGGTCAGTGGCATCTGAAATATATCATGAGTGCTGTATTGCATATCATTATGTGCAAGAAGTTAAAAAGGACTCAAGTGATCAACGGGGACACCAGCCGATATATACCCAGGCATGGCTACGCCCTTGGCCGCTTGGCCGGACCTCCGACTTCGCTTGATAGGCACGTCCCACCAACAGCAGCGCTCATCGTCTGCAATCTCTCTCTTCCCCTCAGATGGCGTAAAGCCCAAGACCTTGGCTAGTCTGAACCACCAATGTTATCAGCCGCGCTAAGAACCAGCCATCAAACGGGGGTATGATCAGAGATATGTCGCGTGGGATAGAGTTGTGACGTGCTGCGGCATATAAGAACTTCTAGAAATGTTGACTCGGATGTCTACGATATTTCTATGGTGCTCACTCTTGACGACCGCGTCATCAGGGCTCTATATGATCGCCATTCTCCTCTTAACGCCGATAATGCCCTATAATTGGGCACAATTGCTTACCGCTGAGCTGAATACGGGCACACTTGCTTGATTCCGGTCTAGTTGGCCTAATATGAGAGATACTGTACACTGCTCCGACATCGCTCGGTCTCTGGGCATCGGAAATCTGATATTGCGACATCCTTGACCACTCACAGGGCTCGTATATTGAGATCCACTGTTGATTATGCCTTCTACGCGAGTCTCTCTTATGACTACGGTGTATGAGATTGGAACATATACAGAGCCATGCTTGACATTTGACCTTTGTCCAGCTTGACTCTGGGAGAATGAGTAACTACGGAATACTTCCGAGGTTGGCTACTCGAGGGACAACATATGCCCAACAAGATAGAGATGATCGGCAAATCATCGGAGAATCCAAACAGCTTAGGTCTGTAAACCCGAGCATCTCTTTGGCCAATATATTCAAGCTTACCATCTACTGCATGGTGAACAAATTAAGCTTCAAACCCCTGTCAACGGTCATCTCCGTGATCACCCTAGCGCAAATTAATAATCGACTGGTCTGCGTCAAGGTGAGTAAAATGCATCTTGTATGATACGGCAGGCAAGAGCTATTATGCGTTGTTGCTAGAAGATCTGCCTCGTGACACCAACTCTCCTTCTTAGCCTGCCCGACACGCATGTTCTTTACAGTACCAGTCCTATAACCGCGACCGTTATCTAGAAATCCCAAATCTCCCCCGAACTGTCCAAGGGCGCCATTCTTAATAGGCATTAGAAAATCTAAGATATGGGTTCTTAATGCTACTTTCCCTATAGCTAGGGCAAAGTCACTTTTGCCTCGAACGTAGAGAAATTATGTATACCGTAGTACTGAATTTATTACTAAGAATGTATTAGAATTGATGAATTATGTTCTACGAGGAGGGTTGTGTATGCTTCCTCCTATAATGCTTGACCGGATAAGCCGTCAAATGTCAAACGGTCTGTCAGGTCGATCAGAATGTCGACCTTTCTCCAAAATGACCCAGGGAGAAAGAGGCCACCGTCCTAACGTAACAGCAAGAACCCCTGCACACACCGCGTTCTTCATTCCACATGGGTGATCTATCCAATCGTAGCTCTTGCGAGAAAGGGTGCATGCAGGTGAAAACCAGGAAGCTTGGCGCACCCTGGGGATTCACGTTTCCCACCCTAATATGGGCATCCGACCTCGATGCCCAGGACCCCCGTTAGGATAGGTGTCCGAAGATCCTTGCTGGCCAAGCTTTCTTTCCCCAATTGTCATTCCTGGCCCCAGGTGAATATGGGCCCTCGCACGGACTACCCACATTCCAGATTCCGAATCAAACACGACCCCGTGTTGTTGCCGAGAAATATACCAACAAAATCTCGACCTAGACTTGGATGTGGTGGGTTTCTTTCCTTTGCTCTGAGTAGCTGTCCGTACACACGGCCGCCACAGGTGACAAGCTAGAAAACTACGCCTGTATAGCAGATGCGAGAAACCGCATAAGGAAGAGTCTTTCTTTAGGTTAGCTGACACAGTCCGGCTGATCTCTCACACGGCACAATCGAATACCTACGTAGAATTTACAGTAACTCGCGCGAAAGCCCGGGAGTAACCTATTTGCAATTACCCAGATCGTCGGTCCATATGGAGTCCTTGCGCAACCCATCTCCTAGCATCTGCCCTTTGCTTTAATGCGGCCATTCCTATTACGAAATTCGAGCCTAATCTGGGGCCGTATTTACTTTACTGATATATTCCTAATAGTCATGGAATGAATACGCGCAGGGAATGATATTAGCGTGCCCTGATTCCTAAGACCGCGTCCATGGCAAAAGATCGCCCTAGAGGCAACATTCCACGAGTTCTTAGAGGGAAACGAGCAAAAAAGCAACATAAATAACGCGCTGTGCTTCTTTTCTCGGACTATTATCTTGACCTGTTCGACTATTCTTTTCGGCCCTACTCGCCCGCCCTCCCACCTCGGCCTGCCTTCGCCATTATGGTCAACCTTTTCCTCTTGTGTATAGCTACACTTGCTAGCGCCTATCCGGCGTGTGACAATTCATGTGCTAGCGCTTATCCGGACCCCGGCCCTTGTACAGGGAACTGCTGGACACATGATCCTTCCATGATCCAGCGCGAGCTGGATGGCATATACTTCCGCTTCTCGACTGGGTACGGGGTTAACACCATGGTGTCGCCCTCGCTCGAGGGTCCATGGGTGGATTGGGGTGCAGCGCTGCCGGGTGGCTCAAGCATTCAGCTGGAGGGTGTCGACAGCACGGACATTTGGGTATGCGAGTTGAACCCCGATTTTAACAATATGTATTTATGATTAACACGAAAACTATCAGGCTCCAGATCTGCACTATGAGGATGGCATCTACTACATGTACTACGTGGTGTCTAAGCTCGGCACGCAGACCTCGGAAATTGGCGTGGCGACCTCTACGACGATGGAACCAGGGACATGGACCGATCACGGCGTGATTGGCCTGCCCCCAAATGACGCCTACAACCGCATCGACCCCAATTGGATCACTATTGACGGCAAGCAGTACCTACAATTCGGCTCCTACTGGGAGGACCTCTTCCAGGTCGAGCTTGCTAGCCCACTGGAGGTTAGCACTGCCAACCCGCCGCACCAGCTAGCCTATAACGCCAGCCTGAACCACCGCGAGGAGGCCTCGTTCCTGTTTCAGCATGGCGATTACTACTATCTCCTATTTAGCGGCGGTATTGCAGGCGGTTACACGGCGACTTACCCAGATCCAGGTGAGGAGTACCGTATCCATATGTGTCGTTCGACGAGTGGAACCGGGGACTTTGTAAGTGCGATTCGCCATGATATAACTAAGGAGCCTCTAACCGGTTTCCGTGCAGTATGACAAGGCTGGTACTTCGTGCTTGGAATCTGGCGGCACTATCTTACTAGAGAGCCATGACCAGATCTACGCTCCTGGTGGACAGTATGTGGCCCATATCCCTCTCCTAGCGCGCCTATAACACTATACGGGCAGCCTGCTAACAAGACTTTCCAGGGGTGTCCTCAATGATAAGGCTCTCGGCCACGTCCTATACTATCAGTACTATCCGCTCGCGGCGAAGGAGGCTGGTGGAGAGGGTGACGCCGCCTACACGTACGGCTGGAACGAGCTGGGCTGGGAGGACGACTGGCCGTACGTGAAGGCCACCTGAGCGTGACCCGCCTGGACACTGCATCGCGCGTTTTTCTGTCCTGTGTGACAACATACGTATTGTGACAATTGGCGGTGCGTATCGGACTTGGTAGCGGGGAGGAGGTTCGTTTCTTTGCTGTGGTCTTTTCCTTTTCTAAAATGGCGTTGTTGATGTTTTCCGCTGATATTGTATCACATGACTATAGTCACGTAGCTACGGTAGATAGTCGGAGGCTGACGCCCACGCGCGTCCTCTTGTTTCCTTTCCTATACTTAATATTTAGTTATTATACACAGTTTCCTATATTCTGTTCTGGTTTGTTATATAATATAGACCCTGACAAAGCCAGTCGCGGGTTCCAAGATCTTAGCCCATCCCCAGCCCGTCGGCCCGTATCCGCGGGTTGCTCGCCGAGAACTGTAGCACCGGAAACCGTGGAAGAATGAAGCAGGGACCAGGAACATGTCGCGACTCTCTGACATAGTTCAAGCATGGAAAGCGGACCTCATCTTCCACATCTCGTGTATAAGGTTTGCTAGACCAAACATCATATGCGATTTAGAACTTCATAATCATCCTCCACAAGATAACTCATTATGATGTAGACCACCAACATTGCAATTGAGAAGACCCAGGAAGCGAAAGCAATTTTCAAGGACACCTGCGGTGTGAGGAGCATAAAATTAAAACGTCCATATAGCCGCTTTTACAAGCATTATAACATGCACTAAGTGAGTCGCACGGGGGAGTTAGTAATTCGTGCCATAGGGGAGGCTTTAGAACAGGGTTCTAATGTCGACGGTGATTAAGTCAATGTGGGGACTCAAGAATCCAAGTTCTCGCATTTGGAAGTGTCGTCTAACTGACATGCTAATTGTGTGAGCCTTCAGTCGGACTTGGATGTTGCATTTGATCCATGGATTTGTACATATTACCAAATATTCGTTGTATCAAAACCTTTTCTCTGACATTTACTCCAGTAGCCAGTCAATGGCGTGATTAACAAGAGCCTCGCTGGTCACTTGTTCATCATGTAATAGGTCAAATAGACTCTGAGCCCCAGAACCAAGTTCCATATGATCGATTGTCTGAGAAGGGCCAGGAATCTCTGGATTGTCCGCAGTAGAGTCGATGTCTGCGCTCGTATGACGTGTAGTGATATGTTCTGTGCTCGTCTCAGGCTGCGTTGCTGGCATTTGGCGCTCAGAGAGATCGGAAGAATGCTCAGTCAGGAACCGGGACATCCAATTATCAAGCACGAATGGATCTGATATCGCATCCTGGCAGGAATTCTGGAACTTTCGTAGTCGTGCCACCTAGAGGTAGGTTAATTGGGTTTGTGGCTGGCTCGAATTCGACACATACAGAATGGTCAACCACAGGCCAATATGATTTGATTCTCATCAAGTACTCAAAGTTCGAGACGAGTCGTTGCCGTGCGATAGCAAGTTCCTCGGCGTTGTCACTGAAGAGCAAAGCGTGCAGGTGAACACAGGAACTGATCACAGCAATGTGACCATAAATGAAGTAATTCAAATCGCAGCCTTCGATGTCCGTGCTATGTTTTATTATTTCGGAGACAGTGTTCGCACTTTGCTTGCATTGGGCTGCTCCCTGTGGAAAGCTTGGATTATTCCGGTTGCTGCGTGCGTCCAGGAAAGGGAAAAAGAGCATTTGGCGGAAGTGATGACGCCCAATATGCATTGCTAAAAACGTTCGACCAAGGCGATTCTTGACAGAGGATAAAATGTTTTCCATGTTGTATTGTAGATTTGGGGGCAGGTTTTGTTCCCACTCATCCAGGCTGTTTTCCAGCTTGATCGCCTCCATGCAGTAATCACTGAACGGTATCAGGCCTTGACTTAGCCGTCGAAGAAGTGTACTGGTTTTGTTGAAAATTTCGAGCGTCTTTGCCATATGCGCCCACATATTGCATGGTGAGGTTGTCTGTGGCGGATCTGGGTCGAGGCTGGCAAAGATCACATCATCCACTTCCAGTGGTGTATATTCCGGCCCATGTGTGAATGATACAGACTCGATAGACATGTCTGTAGCTGTCCAATGACTGGCAATATGGACCGAGAGCCAAGTGCGACGATACTCCTCTTGACGCATGATAGTGGCATCATTTGGAATATCTGGCATCCCCAAAGCCTCCGCGTGCAGCCTAGCGAGTCCACTGTAGATGTGCTTTGCTTTTGTGTTGCCTTCCCCGCCGTAGTAGTAGCCGATCAATATCAGAGCCTGTACCGTTTCCAGGCTGGGTGTAGTAATGGACTGATAAATGAGACTCTCCACTGCGGAGGCACCTAGCTTTCCCCGCTGACCACGGGCAATATCATGGTAATGTGGATGGTTGGAAAACCTCTCAGCCATTGCGTACATGGCATACACCAAGATTGGGGGTGCTTTGCTTTCATGTAATTGACGCATAAAGCCTCTTTCGTGGAACATCGTATGGGCCACATTGTGAATGTAGCGAAAGTACAAAGTAGTCAATTCATGGGAGAGCTCTGGACCGGTATGGACGGACATCTGTGGAAGATCCATCCTCCTTTGGAGGCTGTTTGACTGACTAGGGAGCCCTAGGGGTTCTTCAAGACTGCATGGAGCTGAGATAGACTGACATGGTCCGCAACTACGGCCATCTTCTGCTGGGACACATCGTCTTTTTCGTGTGCTGGCTTCTTTAGTATCACACCATCCACATATCATACCGTACCTACCGGCAACTCACGCAGGCTCCCGCCCTTGTCCTCTTAAGGGGGAGCTGCATATCCGAGAGCGAGTAAAGAAGGTCTATTTATAGACTCAGAAGAAAGTTGAAGAGAGAAATACAGAACAACATACTTGAAGCCCTTGAGGTCCCGAGGTCGGCTTGATGCTGAGTCATCCTGTCCATAACCTCCATGGCTTAGAAGTTGAGAGTAGAAGTTCGTTGTCCTCCAGTTTCCAAGATTGTATGTATCAGCTGGATCAGCGAGAAGTGGAATTTGAATTAAATGATTGAGAAACTAGTGTCGTAGTACTTCCGACAAACAGCCGTTTTATGCTACCTATCGACCTATCATTCGATCTCATTTGCTCAAATCGCGTTGTGGACTCAAATTTAGCTTCTATTTTAACCTGTTATATCCAGAGTTTCCCGTGTGATCTAGTCGTCTAGCGCTCTCAAAGATGACCATCCCATACTCCTTCGAGAAATTCCTCGCCGATCACGCCCAGATGAACCAGCCGGGGATGCGTTAGGCTAATCAACGCGAGAAGGAAAATTCGACTCACAATACGGTTCCCGGTTTTAGCAACCGGGTTGGCTTCAAGGCCGACAATTACGGTGTCCTGATCTGTGGGACTGAAGATTTGCTGCATTACCTCTCCAAACACGGAGCAAATTTCGGCAATGAGCTCTCCTCTTCCCACTCTCTCAGCCACCTTCTTATACACTGTACCGTATATCAGTGGGGCGTGACCCATCGGGTTATCAAAGTACCTACCTGTCAGTATTCCGGCTGATCAGATCGAGAGATCGACATGCAATATCTCAAGGCTACAGCTCGCTAAAACAAACATAAACATTCACCTGGATATCAATTCAACTCCTTCCAATCCATTACAGTATGAGGCTTTTTCTTAGACACAGTGGGCTTGATAGATAGTAACTTATATAAAGGCTTATAATGGTACTATAATGTTCCACTATATCCGTACAGCAGACCCGTCAACTTCACGAGAGACCAGCTAAGGGGCTATCTGGGCCGTATTGATACAGAGTCACAGCTTATATGCGGGTATACGGTTGGAGAGTGTATAGAGATCAAGGAAGTTTACCGGTAAAAGGGCCATTATAGAATCGGCCATTGAGTGGGAACCCAAGATATTACGAGGACATTCGATGACTTCGCCAACTGCCAATACTCCTACTTTAACGTCGAGCCTCATAAATCAACAGTTCACCATAGACCTGGCACAGGACTCTCCTCGACAATGCATCTATCAATAGGTCATATTTATACTCCATATAGGATAATGTAAAGGGATAAATCTCAGTCATACAGGACCAAGACACAACCTGAACGGCATAAGAGTAAAATGTGTTTGGTAGAGTAAGATACAAGCCGCAAGGAATCAGGTCGTCACTGCAGAACTATGCAGCGGGGGTGCATAAGAGAGTAAATGGGGTCCCTATGTCATTTCACTTCGCGCCCAGCACCACTTATCGAGTCAAGTTATACTTTCCCACTCGATTGTTTGGTCCATTATCGTGAAATTCGCGTCCTCCCCGTCCCCTTTTCTTCTTCATAGTTCGTCGTCATCTTCATCTCGTCCCCCTTAGACGGTGTACTTGGCCTTGGCGCGCGTGCTGCCGCTGTGTGCGCTGTCGGTGTGACCAGAGAATTCCACCACGTCGGCCTCCTTCAATCGGAGGACGTCCTTGAATCGCTGTCCGATCGCCTCGAGGATCTCCTTGCCCTGCGCGGGTGTGCGGGTGTTCTTATCGCCTTGAATGCTCTTGCCGACGGTGCGTGTCCATAGACCCACTCGGTAGAATCCCTTGCGCACATTCACAACCACTCCCATGACTTCGTTGTCGGCGTCGCTCTCGAGGGTCTCGCCGATCGCGGACAGCTGTGCGTGCAGCCACAATTCGTCGATGGGGACCGATCGCTTGTCCTTGAATTGGTACGACCACTTGCCACCGTGCTTGTTCTGGGGGTCTTCCCACTCGGGCCGTACGCCCTTCTTGAAAAGATGGTAGTCGGCCTTGAGACCGAGTTCGGAGGTAGGAGTGATGTTGTTCTAGAGGCGGGTGTTAGTGCTGGGAAGTGATAAGTGATTGGGCTGGACTTACGTAGATGCCCCAAAATTCTTCGACGGAGCTGAAAGTGACCACTTCCTTGAGGAGGTCGTTCCAGTTATCGCCCTAGTAAATCCATCAGTATCAACTCGACAGAATCATCAAATATCGTTTACCTTTCCGCTAGGGGGCTTGGTGAACCAGAGGGTCCATTCGTGCATCAGAGGGTGCTTCACGTTGAAGTCCTCGGCGTTGTGGAAGACGGTGACCGGCTCTCCGGACTCAACCTTCTCGACAGGCGCAGAGTTCTCATCGGCGACAGCCGGGGTACCATTCTCGACGGCGGCCATGTTGCGTGATGTGGGGGGAAAGAAAGGTTGAAGATGTCGGATGAAAGGCGGGAGAACTTTTTAGGGGAAAGCGCAATCGGCTTTCACACAAAGAAAAGAAAAGATAGATGAGAGGAGAGAAAGGTCTGCTCCAGGCAGTGAATGGTGAGTCGACAATTAACCGCAAAGATGAAGTTTTGAAGTTCGACAAAAATTGCCTTCCGACGAACATCACCGCTTTCCGGACCATACAGGAGATCAATAGAGCACTTTCTACATTCAAGTCTCACTTTTTCTTTGTTTATTGATATATTTTATTTCTCATTTCTCATTTCTCATTTCTCGCTTTTTCTCTACCGAGAAATGAATAAATTGTTCTAACAATACAACCTGGATACTATTGACCGAATACATGTATAACCAACCGAAATCCTATATGAAGCGCCATGTGAAAAGCAGAGAAAATATGACAGACCAGTAGGTCAGGGTATCTCTAAATCAAGCCCTCTAGTTTTCCTCACCGCTGTTCATCATGCTCAGCAGGCAGTTCCAGCCTGCAGTATTATGTCAGTACTGAATGACTCAAATGAACCTTGGAGAAGGGTACTCACCTAAGCTGACCACGTTGACCACCAGTACACGCAGTTCTGGGGGCACAAGGGCAAAGTTGGCACCTTGTACAAAGGGCCACACCATCAGGTTGGCCTGGTAGGCGGGAGCAAAGGCACTGCGCCATTTCTCCACGGGGTCACTGCCCTCCATGATAGCCATCGAGGACAAGAAAACGGTGAGTTGAGTTGGGGCAAACACGGCCTGATCAGCCGCGACACGCGCTATGGTTGTGGCGGTTGCACTCTTGAGGACCACATGGCGCTGGAGGATGCCGTACCAGGTGGTGGCTACAGGACCGAAGACGGCTGGACAAACAATATGTGAGCAATGGCAGAGCTTTCAAAAAGGGAAGAAGTGTGACCTACCTCCACCGTAGAGAGCCATGCGCCCAGTTCGGGCAAAGTCGTGCTTCTCGAGACCTCGGCGGTCAACCGCTTGTTGTGCTAGGGCATCACCGCTGCCGAATAGAATCTGTGTTTGGATGAGTATGAGTATGAAGAATTGGTTGAGGGATCGAGGGTCGTACTGCACTGGTGATGCTCGCGGTGAGGATGGGCTTCTTGGCCAACTTGGACTGGTACCTGAACCAAGGTTAGACGTGAATTCAATTCGTGGTGAACGAGGGACTTACCAGCGAAGCATGATGGCAATGGAAACGCTTATAGACAAGCACCACAAGACAAGAAAGTAAGAGAACGCTGAACGAATGTAAGGGAGCTGGGGGAACGAGGATCTTTAAATTGCGGAGAACAAAGATGCCCTGTCGCATTACCCAGTTAGGAAATACAGCCGCCAACCAGATTTTGCAGTGACGTAGATGGAGGATTTGATTTAGCAAGTTATCAAGGGTGAATCGGTTGACTAGAGTGACATCTTGATCAATTATTACACATTACACTCTCCCAATTATTCATCTTAAACATACATATAGTTGTAGCTAACGGTACTGATGTAGTTACAGTAGCAGTCTAACGTTATCTTCTCTAGATCTAGCCCGGTCACATGACCTTCTGTTATCGTGCACGTGCCGCGTCCCAATTTGGACTTAGGGCTTAGGTCTCCACTAGGGCTCTCACTCGCTTAGCCCACCCGCGCAAATTTCGGGTCAACAGAGTGAGCCGTGAATACCTCGACGACCATCCTCAATTCGACAACCCTCCCCGTCACTCAAAAACATCAAAATGGCTGACGCTGCTCCCCGTGGACGTGGTGGTTTCGGTTCGCGCGGCGACCGTGGTGGTGACCGTGGCCGTGGCCGTGGTGGTCGCCGTGGCCGTCGTGGCCCCAAGCAGGAGGAGAAGGAGTGGCAGCCCGTCACCAAGCTCGGCCGTCTCGTCAAGGCCGGCAAGATCACCTCCATGGAGCAGATCTACCTCCACTCTTTGCCCGTCAAGGAGTACCAGATCGTTGACTTCTTCCTGCCCAAGCTCAAGGATGAGGTTATGAAGGTACGGATCGACAAATACACCGGAAGGAATGGGATCGGAATCGAATTGCGACAATTGCGCACAATTGCGCAATGAGAAAACGAACTCTTTCCGCACCCATCGAATCAGCATTCGAGATCAAGACTAACGTTCAATTTCAACCTACAGATCAAGCCCGTCCAGAAGCAGACTCGTGCCGGTCAGCGTACCCGTTTCAAGGCCATCGTCCTCATCGGTGACTCCGAGGGTCACATCGGTCTCGGTATCAAGACCTCCAAGGAAGTTGCCACCGCCATCCGTGCCGCCATCACCATCGCCAAGCTCGCTGTCCTCCCCGTCCGTCGCGGTTACTGGGGTACCAACCTTGGTGAGCCCCACTCTCTGCCCGTCAAGCAGAGCGGCAAGTGTGGTTCCGTCTCCGTCCGTGTAAGTAGCCTTTGGCAGGAATCCGACGATACAGGGAACTCGGTTTCTAACGGATTGTCTAGCTCATTCCCGCCCCCCGCGGTACTGGCCTTGTCGCCTCCCCCGCCGTCAAGCGTCTGCTCCAGCTCGCCGGTGTCCAGGACGCCTACACCTCGTCCTCCGGTTCCACCAAGACCCTTGAGAACACCCTCAAGGCCACCTTCGTCGCTGTTGTCAACACCTACGGTTTCCTTACCCCCAACCTCTGGGCCGAGACTAAGCTCATCCGCAGCCCTCTGGAGGAGTTCGGTGACGTCCTGCGCCAGGGCAAGAAGTACTAGGTCCGCCATGATGCATGATTTTTGTTCCACAATTCCAACGGGTTTCTTTTAAAAATTATCTCCCTCTGTGCTTGGTGAATTATCGTGTGCGGGAGACATCCCGTGCCACTGGGTGTATCTAGAAGGGACACAAAATAGCGAAGTCCACGGTCATTGCCAGCCAGATTTGCGTCTGTGTAGGATCTACCTCTGTAGGTGTAAAGTGTAGCGGTCGAACCTCGAACAGAGCCTCATGCACTATTTGTAGTCTAAACCTTATTTTGAGTTTACGTCAAGTCGAGTCCTTGACAGCTGCGAGAGACATGACGTTTATGGAAGAGTCAGTACTGTTCAATGGCATTAGTTGAAGCTGTTCTGTTATATCAATCCAATCCAACTCCATCGGTCTGCATTGAAAGTCCCAATCCCAACATGGTTGGCTGGACATCGGTAGATAGTATATGAAACATGATATCAGAGTGTACACATGCAGTTTAAAGACATAGATATACAATCAGTACGTCTAGGAACAAACTCCAGGCAATGCTACCTAGTCTGCTGTTCAGCTGAGTGTACAACTCATCAGAGTTGCAGGGCAGTGGTACCTGGCGACACCTTCCTCTCCAGGTTGTTTCCCTCTGTACCTCTACTCCCCTCTTCTGTTCTCTCTCCGTTCTCTACTTCTCGTCTCTTCACTTTACTTCCTCTCATATCTTCCTTGTACTCTACCTCGATTCAGATGTAAACGTGCATCATGGAGGAGTATCCAGCCCACTGGAAAAGCACACTCATGGGAGTGGATTTCTGGAAAGACGCCGCCGCCTATGAAGACGAGGTCGCTAAAACGCTTCAACGAGGTAAGAGGTTGTCTGCTCTTTGTTTCCTCGCATCTTGCCTGTGCCGTCCAAAGATAAGGTCCCGCTAACTTCTCCAGCCCTAACTCTAGACCTGCATACCCAATTCCCCTTCAACATGGGCACTGAGCAAGGCCCTCGTCTCCAGGATGTCCCCAAGATACATCGTCATCTGAGTGCGGTGGAACTTCCTACTATTTCTGGTCTTCGACGTCGTTCTAGCGTGAAGGGTACTACTGCGCGTATCAAAGGTCTGGCCCGCCATGTGCGAACTCCTTCGTTTATTGCGCCTCCGTCGACTTTGGATCTGAAGCTGTCACTTGATACTACTTCCAAGGTAGTCGGTGATTCCAAAAGTACTACTGTTCGGGCTGTTGAGATCTTGTCTCGCTCTCCGATTACTCCCATCGATTCTCCTATTACCTCAGGTCTGGCTACACCCGTCAAGCCGATTCAGTTCTTCCGCGGTGGTCCATCTTGGGGGAAGCTTCCCAGAAGCAAGGCGACTCTAGGACTGGATTTGTTTTCTAGTATTGAAGAAGACAAAAAGGATGATGGCATCCTTGCTATCATTGAGCTGAAGCCGCTGTGTGAGTTTCGGAACCTTCGTTCCCTCAAGCTCACCGGTATGCTGCGATCGTACCAAGTGTACATTTGGCAGGCTGTTTGGCAGAATCCCAACCTTGGAGCTCTGCATTTGGCTATGGCGCTTGAGCCGGGTATTCTTTCCATCCAGAGCACCGAGTGGAAACAGATCAAGACTGGTTGGAAGATGAGTGGAAAGCAGTATGCTGATCCGGTTTACTAGTCAGTATATCTTGTCCAAAGGTTGTGGTACCTGACTCAATGGTTTCTAGCGGACAATACGGCACTGGTGAATTGAACCCGGACATTGGATACGGCGAGTATCTCGACAAATATGCCATTGAAAAGGCCAAGATCCGTGCGATGGCTATGGGTCCCACTTCGAAACGTCTGGGGATCAAGACCATCTCCCTTTCGGGCTTCGTCGTTGATGCTGACCCATTCTTACACTGGTTTGATCCGGAGAAGCTGCGGACTATCCATTTCAAGGCACACTGTGTGGATGCAGGATTGTGGTTACCTCGCAACATGCGGAATGTCACTATTCGCCTGTCTATGCCTTTTGACTTGGAGGCTGTTCCCATTGGCATTGTCACACTGAACTTGTTGAAGGATCTGAACATGATTACGCTGGAAAAGGGGCGCAAGGTGAGCCAGGTTGCGTTTGAGCACTGGGATACAGAGGAGTGGGACAGTCTTTTCAGTCCCATGTCCAGATTTACTTCTGGATGAGATCCTACATTCACGATTCACGATTCATGCGGCGCTCTATACCCAGGGAAGGGGTGGTACTTGTCAAATATTATTCAATTGAAAGGCAAATTGCCATTAACCTTGAGTACATTTAACGAAATGCAGAAACGAAAGAAACAAAAAAGAACGAAAGTAATTCCGACTGATGTAGAGTGGAGAAGAGTAACTTATGACGAGCTAAATCACCCAAAGCACCGAACACATTCTGATCAACCGAATAAAGCACACAGATATCATCCAAGTCACAGTCTGCAGAGTAACACATTTTGCTTAAGATTTTGCTTAAGCACCCTCTTCCTCGATACGAATGGCGCCTTCGTTGCCAATACCACGGGACCAGAATCCGTCCAAGTACAGGGTACTGTAAAAGTTAGTATATGTACATGTACATAGATAAAATCAACCGCTTACATTTCAGGCGAACTATCATGCGCCAAAAGAAGCCAGTACCCAAGAATTCCCTGAGTAAAGATATCCAGAACGGCAAAGAGGATAGTCTCCGTATCGACGCTAAGCTTGAGAGCGAGAGGTCCAGCCGCGATGGTGCTATACAATATCATCAGCACTTTCTTCCTCATCCATAATGGAAGGTTGAAGATTGAAAGACATACATAGGGAACAAAGCCAACGCAACAATCGCCGAACCAGAAAGAGCCCCGAAGAACCGTCTCGTGCTCGCATCCTTCACCCTGGCTGCTCTCTGTGCGTGGAATACGACATGGTGGATCACAACCAGGTAAGCGATACACGAGATAGTAAGCCAGACCCAGCGCTCGCGGCTGTGATTTGCGTATGAACCGAGGAGTCCGGCTGAGAGCATGACCAGGTCGGCGACTATGGCCAGGAGGAGGTTTGCCCCTGGGAGGCCTGAGATGAGGGCGAAGTTTATGAAGAGGAGAGGGGTTGTTAGGGCCCAATTTAGGTAGCGGAGCCAGAGGATCTGGCGGAAGATTATTGTTGTTGTGTCTGGGACGTGCTTGTGCCTTTCGTGGATTCTGTTGTAGCTGTAATCGCTTCCGATTTTTGTGGCCAGGGCCAGATAGACTATGAAGGAGATTGTTGTTGTTATGGAGGTTAGGATGTGGAAGATTCGTTTGGGCTGGCTCTGTTAGCTGGTGTACTCTTCATGTATAGGTGGTTTATAGGTGGTATAGAGTATAGAGTCTCGAGTGATGTATATATGTGGGATGTATAGATGTGGGATGTATAGATGTGGGGATGTTGCAGATCCGGGGTAGACGATCAACTCACCAAAGGAGAGCGAGCTGCCAGGAGGTAGAACACCAGCGAGGAAATGCCCATCAACACAGTCACAACCCTATTATTGTTAGCATCTTACTGAAATCATGTAAAAACACTTACCAGAGAGTCCGCATGCCCACATGGTGGATCTCCTGCCAGGTCTCGGATCCGGGGATCACAGTGGGGATCGGCGCCACCGAAGAGGTGGTGGCCGGGGCCGTCAAAGACGGGAATTCGTCAAAGGGAGGATAAATCATGATGGATAGCTATGAGGATTGAAGCATTGAAGGAGGAAGAAATGAAAGAAGAGTGAAGTGGCAGAGGAAGTGGCATGAGTGGGTAAATCAGGATCATGATTGGCAAAAGCGTCATCAAAGTTGACTTGTCGTCATACACAGAACTTGCTCTTCCTTGTTACTTGCTACTGTTACTGCTGTTGTTACTTTTATTAATGTTGGTTCTTTTTATAATCTTTGCTTCGATTATTGGTGACACAGCGTAAGAATGGAATAATTTATAGCATCAATCTGCATCAAGTGTATATAGTACAATGGTATACATGCATATCAAGCATTTGCCTCCAGTTCACACACCACGGTCTCACACCGGTGGCAGATCGTATTTTCCGCCACTGGTTCCACAATAGCATACCGCCAGCATCGCGGGCATTTAGCTGCCTGTGGCGCGTACACGTGCACCGTACCCGGTTGGCCACTGAGCTCAAAGGCCTCTTCGTATTGCCACTCAGCCTCGGCGATTTCGGTGATGACAGGGTCGGCGTGGGATGCCAGACTGATGGAAGACACGACAAAGAGGTCGGGGAGTTCGGAAAGGTACTGGTGGAATAAGCTTGAGTTGCTAGGGAGAGCGAGGTGCACGAATGATTGCAGGGATGAGCCGAGTTGCTTTTTGCTGCGGGCTTGCTCTTGCAGGTTCTTGATGGCGGAGTGTACTACTGTCAGCTCCTGGTAGCTGATGTCCAGGGAGACATCCTGCCATTCCGGTGCGGGCGCGGAAACGATACGCCGCAAGGGGTGCTCGGTGTGGGTGCGGATAGCTTCGGGTGTGTGTTCCCACGTTTCTTCCACGAGCATCGGGGTGATGGGGCCCAACACCTCTTGGAGATGACGGTAGACGTAGAACAAGGTCGTTTGAGCAGCCCGGCGGCTCGTACTGTCTGCGCCCAAGGTGTAAAGTCGGTCCTTGATCGCTTCCATATAGAAAGCGGAGAACTCGAGGTTGGCCCATCGGTTCATCGTGTTGACAGCCTTGTAGAATTCAAAGTTGTCACATGCCTTCTGAGATGTGAGAACCATGTCCGAAAGGTGCTTCAAGGCAATCCGATCCACCAACTGCAGCTGCTCATATGGGACAACGCTATCGGGTCGGAAATCGGCGAGGGCTCCCAGGAGTAGCTTGAACGTCACACGGAACTTGTGAAGACTGGTGTTGACGGTCTGGAGTACCTGCTTTCCAATCACCACGTCCCGCGTGTAGTCGCTGCTTGCCGCCCACATGCGAAGAGCATCGGGGCCAAGTGCGTCGTACACAGGTTCTGGGTTCCCTGCTTGCTTCTTTCCTTTGCCCTTGCGGGGCTTGAGAGGAGGCAGCAGAGTTCCTTCCATGATGGTCTGCGGCGCAATGGTGTTGCCAATGGACTTGCTCATTTTCCGGCCATGTTCATCCAGGGTGAAGCCGTGGGTGATGAGGTTCTTGAATGGAGCACGAGGTGTTGTACCCTGGTCGGAGCCGAGTTGGTGCGAGATATAGGTGAGAAGGCCAGATTGGAACCATCCGCGGTGCTGGTCGCTACCTTCGAGATACACATCGGCAGGGTGACTCCGGCCTTCAGTGGGCACATCGATCTCTGCCCAGCTGGTACCGCTGTCAAACCACACGTCCATGGTATCTGTTCCACGTCGATACCCTGCTCCAGGCTCATTCCGCAAGGTCGGAGGAATCCATGCAGCATCGTCGCCACTATCGGTCCACCAAGCATCGATGCCCCGCTCTTCAATCGTGGTCATGATGTGTGAGACGCTGTCTTTGGTTAGGACGGCCTCTCCAGTGGTCCGGTGATAGATGGCGGGAATGGGAACACCCCATGAGCGTTGTCGTGAGATACACCATTCACTTCGATTCTTCACAAAGTTCTGCAGTCGCTGCTTTCCGGTTTCAGGGACGAACCGAACATCCTCCAAGGCTCGAAGAGCGCTACCACGGATGTCGGCCACGTCGGCAAACCATTGCTCGGTTGCCCGAACAATGATCGGAAGCTTCGACCGCCAGTCGTAAGGGTACTTGTGCTCGTACCGATGTTGTGCGAGCAACTGATCACAAGATTCGACATATTCCAAGACTGCAGTATTACCTTCTCCTAGAACAGGCTTTCCAGTCAACCGAGTAGGATCTAGGGGCATGGCTTTCTCCGTGAATCTGCCCTCATCGTCGACCGGAGCAAATACGGGAATTCCGCGCGCAAGGCAAGCCTCGTAGTCATCCATTCCATGACCTGGTGCGCAGTGAACCATACCGGATCCAGAATCAGCAGTGACAAAGTCTGCGGCGATGATGGGCTGGGGTTGAGCTTCTGGGCCCTTGAACAGAGGTCGATACGTAGTTTTCTCTGCCAACTCGGAGCCCATGACAGACGGGATAATGATAGACAAGTCCTCATTCAGCATGTTCTGGAGGTACTCGATCCGGGACTGGGCGATGAGAAGGTGGCCATGGTTGTCCGACTGGACAATAGTGTATTCCAAAGACTCGTGGACAGCAATGGCAGCATTGGCAGGTAGCGTCCAGGGGGTAGTAGTCCAAATCACAGCACTCAATTCATTTCCCTTGAGAAGAGGGTCCTCGGCAAGGTGTCTCGGAATATTGACCAGAGGAAATTTGACCAGCGCAGCGGTAGAGACATGGTCCTCCTTGTATTCCAGCTCTGCTTCCGCAAGAGCCGTCCCTGTTGAAGGCGACCAGTACACGGGCTTGAACTTGCGGTAGATAAGACCTCGATCAACCATTTCCCGGAAGATGCCTAGCTGGCGCATCTCGAATTGTTTATCCATCGTCTTCCAGTGGTTCTCCCAGTCGGCCATGACTGCGAACCCGCGGAACCCCTTCATCTGCTCCTTCACGGTCTGTCGAGCCAGCTGGCGCGCTGATTTGCGAATTACAGCTGCGCTGACCGACCCGTCGGCAATTTCCATGTCGCGCAGACCTTGGAGCGCCTTGAGTTCGATCGGCAGTCCATGGCAGTCCCATCCTGGCACATAGCGCACCCTCTTCCCCCGGCTTAATTGTACGCGACAAATGATATCCTTCAAGATTTTGTTAAGCGCATGTCCAACGTGCAATTCGCCGTTCGCGTATGGTGGGCCATCGTGGAGGACGAAGGGATTCTCGGCCGGTCTTTCGCGGCGTTGCCAGGCGTAGAGGTCATCGGTGCACCGTTTTAGGTATTTAGTCTGATCGACAGGCGAAACTCGAGGTGGAAACGACGACTTGGGAAGCTTCAGCGTCGACGTCCAGGAACGGGGGATCGACCGCGCCAGTTCCGGCATTGTCCAGCATGTCGTGGAGGAGTGAAAGTTCGGCCGCGGAGTTCAAAATATTTAACTATGGACTTAACTATGGACCAGCTCGGAGCTTGCACGTTCATACTGATTTTTATTCATATTATGTGTTATTGGGCGTTAATGTTTCTATCCGCATTCCTGTTTTCTTCCAAATGTATTTCTCGCTTTGGTTTTGTTACTCGTGTTGGATATATATTCTGCTGTATGCTCCATACAAACCTACCCCAGCACCATCTATCCAACACAGCTATTCATTGTCATAATTCATAATGCATTTAAAATAGCTAAATATGTACCAATACCACATGAGAATCAATACACGGTAAGACTGCTCACAGCGCCATTCTTGAGCACCTCAAATAACAGACCAGGAAATCCGAAAAGCTCCGTATTGCCCAATCCCCCGTCTTGGCCGTCTGCACCACTCCGAGGACCCTTCGTAGTACTCTCTTCCCAACCACCGAGGAATTCCACGCTGCTCTCGGGGCTGTCACCCCACCCGCGGTTGAGGACCATTGGTCGCTGCAAAGCACGCTCTTCGGCGGGGCTAGAGTAGGCTCCTTTCCAGGTTTTGCATAACCGCTCCGAGATCTCCTCGTAAGATGACTCGGAAGATAGACAGCTCCCCGAGTCACCAATGGGGATGGTCCAGCGGCTTCGACGGTGGCGGTTGAAGGGATATGAGCCTGGAACGTTGCCATGGAGGATGATCTTTGTTACTGCCAACTGAGATGAATGTGGCTGTGGTGTAGGGTCTGGTATACCGGAGTCTGGAAAGGCAGGACCGGGTGTGGTTGGGTATGAGATGAACGCATCGAATCCATGATGGAAGAAGTTCAAAAAGCACTCCGCGGGCAGTGAGGTAGGGTCTCCGACAAATGCAGCAGCCTCATCATCTGAATCATCAGTAACACTGTTATTGGATGAGTGATCGGCATCCGGCATTTCAAATCCTCTGCCTGGAGATGGACTTAGGTGTAGCTCACCGGCGCCGGTGGCACGGTGAATGGATATCCGGCGGTCATTCTTACGGTAGATCGCATCGGGCGGCCCAAAGTCCGCAATCAAGTCCTGAGGAGTAGTTTCTCCAAGGGTGATGCCTAAGGGAGCTCCTGTTCTGCGAAGGACTTCAAGCTTGCCAGCCCCTAGAACCTGCCACTCCTCGATCTCGTCTGCAAGTGACTCCCGGGATTTGCCAATCAAAGCGGATGAGCGAGGATATTGGGGTTGTTGTGTAAAGAGCTTTGCTCGAACCTCTGGCCATGACGATCCCTGGAAGATCGACATGGAGGTGGCTGGCAAGGCAGCCGAGGAGGAGAGCAGTGCTACGAAATCACACTGATCGGACCAGGCCGAGTGCTGAAGGGGAAACGAGAATGCTACTCCGGGATAAGATAAGACGTATGTGCCATATGGTGACTGATCTGCCGGTGGTACGTATTCTCCTGGGTATGAAGGACCAAACAGGCGATTGTAAACGTGCCGGAAGCTGGGGCCATGCGAAGATACTAGGTGTTCTGATTTGGCCCCCTTTAGCACTTCCTGGTTCTTATAGACCAGATTCACTCTCGTGAAGTCGAGTACTTCGATCAAACGAAGTCTCTGGTCGGGACCATCGAAGCGAAGGCGCAGGCCGTTCGAAGGTAGCTGCAGTACCACGGGATTGCGGAGCGGATCAGCGGAGGAGTAGGCAAGGTCGATGGCGGGGTATGTTTGGGGATAGGATTTGACTCGGGTCAGGACATTATGAAGCGAAGCTCCTAGGGCTATGAAGGCATTAGCCGAAGCACTCAAATGGGTGGACGGAAGACGTGCTGATAAACCCCAGTCCTTTCCCGGGGAAGATTTGTGCCTGCGAAGTAGTAGTAGATGTAGTCATAGTGGGCTGGGGTCTGGTGTTATGACCCAAAGATGAGCAAACGAAACTCCATGCGATAGAGCTTACAGGAGGTGAAATAGAGGAGAGCTTGGGAGACCTTGGGGGGAGGGGACGATAAGATATGACGATAAGGCCAGCAGACCAAGTCATGTGAGAGGGCTGTCACGTGTGCTTTGTTTATGTTTTCCCGTTTGAGACAAAAGCTCCACTGCTATACACAACTCCGACTCAAAATCAGACTTGAGCAGACTTGATTACTTCGGCTTATCGTGCTTGAAAAATAACCCTCAGCCAACATACAATTGTCGCCTCGCCACCATGGCCGGCCCTTCAAGGCCTCCATCCACTCTCCCGACCACCACGAGGAGGTCGGGTTTGCGCCAACCAATACGACGAGCCGGTTCGGCTGCGCCAGAGAGACATGCGACACCTGTAGCACCAACACCATCGGTGAGATCGTCCGCGGTCAGCGCTGCCCGCCCACCGAGAAGCCCTGAAAAGTCAAATGCGCCGGCCAGGAGAAAGGAGAGAGAATTTGAGCGGGAAATCAGCGAGGATACCAGCATTCATGTCGTGGTTCGTTGTCGCGGTCGCAGCGATCGCGAAATAAAAGACAATAATGGTGTTGTGCTATCAACTCCAGAGGGTGTGAAAGGCAAGACACTCGATCTGTCGATGGGACCAAACGCAGTGTCAAACAAGACATATGCTTTCGACAAAGTCTTCTCCTCAGCCGCCGACCAGACCACTGTTTATGAAGATGTGGTGCTTCCGGTTGTCAACGAGGTTGGTGAAGTCGCTATGTACTGATTGAGTGCTGCGCTAATTATGTACAGATGCTGGCAGGTTACAATTGCACAATTTTCGCATACGGACAGACCGGAACAGGAAAGACGTACACCATGTCGGGAGACATGAACGACACACTTGGTATCTTATCCGACGATGCAGGTATCATTCCGCGCACACTTTACTCTTTGTTCCACAAACTCGAGAACACTGAAAGCACCGTGAAATGCTCCTTCATCGAATTATATAACGAGGAGCTGCGTGACTTGCTATCATACGACGATAGCACAAAACTCAAGATTTTCGAGAACGAGAAGAAAGGGGGACACAGCACAATGGTCCAAGGCATGGAGGAGACCTACATCGACTCTGCCTCTTCTGGCATCAGATTATTGCAATCTGGCAGCCACAAACGTCAAGTCGCCGCAACGAAATGTAATGATTTGAGTTCCCGAAGTCATACAGTGTTTACCATCACAGTTCTCACCAACCGCACCACCAACTCTGGCGAGGACTATGTTAGCTCAGGAAAGTTGAACCTGGTTGATTTGGCTGGAAGCGAAAACATTGGACGAAGTGGCGCAGAGAACAAACGGGCGACCGAAGCTGGACTTATCAACAAGAGTCTGCTCACTCTTGGCAGAGTGATCAATGCCCTGGTCGACAAGAGCTCGCACATCCCATACCGAGAGTCAAAACTTACCAGACTCCTACAAGATTCACTCGGAGGACAAACAAAAACATGCATCATCGCCACTGTCTCGCCTGCCCGCAACAACCTCGAAGAAACCATCTCTACTCTCGACTATGCCTTCCGAGCCAAGAACATTCGCAATAAACCCCAGATCAACTCCATCATCTCCAAGAACAAGCTTCTGCGAGATATCGGAATGGAAATCCAGAAGCTCAAGAGCGAGCTCATTGCCACACGGCACCGAAATGGCGTATACATGACACCTGATGCGTTCGAACAGATGACAGTGGAAAGTGAATCACGACGAATTGTAAACGAAGAACAGCGTGCGAGGATCGAGTCTATGGAATCCAGCCTCCGACACAAGGTCCAAGAGCTGCTCTCTATCACGGGCAATTTCAACTCACTCAAGCACGACAACGAAGAGACACAGTCCAAGCTCAACGAAACGCAAGACATTCTCAACGAGACCGACAGATATTGGAAGGATTGTCAAGAACAGCTTGACGAGGAGAAGACTGTGCGGAAAGCCCATCAACAGACAGAGAAGCAACTTCGCATCATTGGTGCGGGACTGGTGTCCACCCTGAATGGCACCATTCAAGATGTGAATGGGTTGCATGCAAAAATTGATCGCAAGAACAACCTGGAAACAGACAATCGACAAACTTGGCTGACTTCCACCGGTGAAGTCTCTGATATTACACAGCAGATTGATGCTCGCATGGAGGTTTTCCAGACGCAGCATGCCAAGCTGCTAGAGGGCATGTCAGGCAAGATCCATCAATTTGTGGACACTGAACTGAGCACTGTGCAGTCTGCTCGCACTCGACTCCAGACTCTTGGTACCTCTTTTGACAAGGTTGAGGCAGAGGCAAAGAACAACACCTCCAATGCTCACAACGAGATGAACGAGGTTCTTGAGGAGATCAAGGTCTTGCGGGAAGATGTCAAGACTAAGGTTGGCGAAGGCTTGAATGGCTTGTCCGCGGCGGCTGCTCGAATCTCCAAGGAGGTTATTGGCGAGTTCTCTGAGTTCCATACCCAGCTTCACACATCATACAGCAGCCTTGGCAAGGACTTCAAGTCCATGTTTGAGAACATGGCTAAGCACCTGGATGAGCAAAAGGCTGAGGTTAACAGATTACGTGTTGAGCTGCAGGCAGCCAACCGCCAGACTGTGGAGGCCAATAGAAAGGCTTCGTCCAACCTTGCTCAGGTTTTGGAGGAGGAGCATGCCAGTGCACAAGCCGAGCGTGACACCTTGATGTCTCATATCCGGGGACTCCTCGAGGACTCCAACCAACGACAGAACAACCGCCTTAAAAGCAAATTCGATACACTCCGCACAGATATCTCGGCTTCGGGAGACTCGCTTGAGCAGGCCACTGCGCAGCATGATAGACACATTGACGAATGGATCTTCAAAGAGGAGCAGTTCGCCAAGGACGTTTCTGCATCTAAGGATGAGATCAGAACGAGGATGCAGAATGATTGGGAGGTAAGCTACTCTGCAGTGCAACCTTTTTGAATGTCAACTAATTCTAATAGGCATTCGACCAACGCAATGCCTCGATTCATCGAGCAACAGAGTCTGTCCACCAGGAAACGGTTCGCATCGTGGATGCTCAGATGAGCGATATGGGCACTCAAATGGAAGCATTGGATGACTTTGTTGCCAAAGCACGCTCACAGAATGGCCGTTTCCACGAATCCCACATCGGCAGTCTGAATACCATGGCCGAGAATGTTCGCGAGTCCCGTTCGACTGCCCAAAGGCAACTGGACGGGTTCACTCAGCGTATTGGTCAACTTAGAGAGGATGTCGATATGGATACCGAGAACCTGGAGCAGTCTACCGCCCCTCTACAAGGGGAAGTCCGCCAGCCACTTTCAGAGATGCGCTCATATATCCAAGGCCGCGTTATGAAAGAGTATGTGCCTACAGGTGCAACGCCCCAGAAACGATGCTACGAATATCCCTCGGTAATGCCCCAAACCGAATCCCATGACGGCCTCCGCTCTCGACACCGGACCTCCAAGCAATTCACCGCTCTCCCCTTCAACGAAGAAGAGGATCACAAATCCCCCGTTGCTTCCCCTGAACCATCCCCATCCAAGACGTTTGTGTATCACGATACTGCGGGACAGGTAGGGACCCACCCTGTTCCCTCATCCGCAGCCCTTTCTTCCAACACTGGCCTTAGGGAAGTCGATCTAAACGTCGCCAGACCGGTCGCGTGTGACGAAGACGCCGGTGTGGCTACCAGCAAGCCTGAGACACCTGCGTTGAACGGATCCGTGGACCTGGACGAGACCCCCGAAAAGGAAGAGCCGGAACAACCTGCTCGCAAGCGCCGCCGCTCAAACTCCAATATGGTTGAGAGTAAAGTTCCGCAGAAGATGCCGAAGAAGATATCTAATATGATGGAGGGTCGCGAGAATCAGATCCCTGCAGGCCGGAGATTTAGAAACCGAGGCTCTGATTAGGTGCCTGTTATATTTTTGTTCTTTATTGTTTTCATTTTGATACCCGATGTCGCTGGGCCTTTGACTTTTCATGGGTTGGAGTTGGCTGAGAAAACAGTGTGGGTTGGTCATTCTCTTGTGTTTCTTATGTTCGAGTGCCAATAGATGGCAACTTTATTTCGCTTGGCGTTTGTTGGCTTGCATCGGTATTCCGATAGGGATGTCCGGATTCATCTTAATACATTATCTCCCAGAGAGTTGGTTCATTGTATGTTCAAAGTAAATCAAAGAGGTATCTGGCACTAGTCCGATGGTGGACTAGTTGTGAACGCATTCTCCAGAATGCGCCAAAGCAATGTTATCCTAAAGTATTACTGTCGGTCAATCGGAATGTAAGGCTGGTTCTCCTTCCAGTATCGCTTCTTGGCCTGAATTTTCAGCAGGAGGATCCTGTTCCAGCCGTTCCTGCTGTTCACCCGGCTCTGGCTCCGCTTCCGCGGCATCGATGATGGTTTGCAACTCGCCCATCCTCTTCGCAAACTGATCCATCATTTCTTCCAGCCTATGCGCCCCCTTTTCTTTCCTAGAAACCTCAACTGGCATTCCACCAGTGCCGCGAATCTTCAACATCAATCCCTGCCCTGGTGACTCAGGGGTATTATTCTCAAATGTTGGTGCCGGCATTACTTCCGTATCGAGGACCTGCCATGAGGACGAAAAGCTTTGTGCGGAGGTCACGCGGAACTGAGGATGCTTGCTCACTCCAGACTGTCCCTCCTGTGGGAGCATGGATGGGTTCGCTGGTGACGATGACATGGACTTTGTTCCCCCCTTTGGTTGGTCTGTTGTTTGATTCTGTGTTGCGTCATTTGTGGGCGGTACGGGCTCCATGTCTAGGATGAGGTAATTCTCCCGGACTCCTGATACTGGTGGTGGTAGCAGTGTAGCTTTTTCCGGGTCAGCTTCTGGGTCTGAGGGGTCTTTTGTCTCGTGGGGATTGGATGCGTGGGTCTGCGCAATTTGGTCTTTCTTGGATTCGGAAAGGGCATCTTGTTGTGCACTTAAGCTGCGCAGAGCTGCTTCGGTGACGATGTCGGTGTCATCGTCGGAGAATATGTAGTGGACGTTGGGGTGGTAGTAGTCCGATGTATGGGCGTCTTCGACTAGGGTAAAGAATGGTTGGAATGTGGGGTTGGATGGGTGTTGTTCCTGGACTTCAAGTTCTTTGGTACTGTCAACGGCTCCATCGTGGCTCGGGGATGTGACGATCTCTTGTGGAGGAGTCTCGTCTATGGATGGGCGGCCCTCAGGGAGTGGCGCTCTTAACTGTCGATCACTCGGCCGCGATGAGGCTGTCCCTGGTCTCGAGAGGGTCTCTCTGCGAAGAGACTGCCGAGATGACGAGGATGATAGGGGCTGCCGATAGGGAGATGGATTGTTCTGCGACATCTCCAAAGCCGGGACTACATCATGGAGAGGATGTTGAATGTCGAGTGCGGAGAGCTCTTATCGATAGCGCCACGTGACGTAGACAGTATAAACAACCTTGGAAGTATAAAGTCACTTCATCTTAACAACTGGCGAGCTCATATGGTCCAATGACTCCAAACAAATCTCATCCACAAATAAAGCGAAGTTAAATCGTGCCCCGAAACCGTATTCCGGGCCGGGGATGGATCATTCTCGCATTCTTTCAACAACCTCTGTAGTGTTTCTGGCGTATTCACCACTTGCGTAGCTGCTCCGCTACCCAGATATTGAAGTCATCGCGCGCTTCGTGCGAAGTCGCACCATTGAATTTCTTCACGTCCTCATGGATCACAAGCTGATGGCTCTGCAAGAGGTCGGTTTCTTCGTCTCCAAGTAATAATTCGACGCTCTCTTGGACGCTTTTTTGGATCAGCTCGAGCAACCTATTTCACGCTTTGTCGTCATTGTACGTGCAATGATAGATAGAGAATCCCCAAGGTAGTTTGGGCTTCTTTAGATGGATGTTGGAGCGGGACATGCGGACACCTTCTCAGATTTTGTGCCGGGGTGAATTACGGGAACTGGAGAATCTGTCTACATGTAAATAACTCGAAACAAATGAGCTGTGACGGCATTACATTACAGTACATTCTGGGAAGTTCTGGATTCGAATGAAGAAAAGCCATTCGTTGAGATGGCATAAATTTGTATAATAAAACAAGGACTGCATAGTCTTGGTTGGTCGATCCGTCAAGTCTTCGGACTGTCGCATTGTTTATGCTCGCTTGACAACTTCTAGTTTCCACCAAGTCAAGGTCCACCAAAGAAAGAAAAAAGCACAAAAGGGTATCTCGAATTCGTCCGTAACGCCGTGGTAAATATGTGGGATCGGCCGTCACTCGTTGCCCTGCTTCCATTCGAATTCTGGAAACAGTTAGATATAAGCCTCACAAGTAGTGAGGAGAGAACATACTCTGTCGGCACATTGGGCAAAGACCTTTGGAAGACTCTTGGTTGATCCAAGTCAACAGACAATGCTGTTCAAAACGCGTCAGTCCAGTCCCTCACTTAGATGCTTGTATAGTCTCACCATATGGAATGAATGCCCGCATGTTCCTACCACTAGAAATCAAATCCAGTCAGCATTCAAGATCACTCGTGCACACTGGGATCAATAGGCTCACTCACAAAGCGCGCATTCGTCGCCGGGGAATTTGCAGGTTGGACAGGTGCCATCGAACTGCACACGGCAGATACCACAGACTTCATCTTCTGGGATATCCCAGTGCCAAGTCGCAATGGCATTCCACTCCTTGAGCACGACCTTCATGATGTGTGTTGAGGGAAGAAGTGACCGCGGGCCGATAAGTGATGTTTATCAATCATGTGAGCACTTCTCCGCACTCCACACTCGCGCAATAGTTGACCTCTTATTGCTACAACTTGCGTCGTTTCTTTCCTGCAATCATGGCGTTCACTGCCATGCGATCCTTTGCGCCTGTTCGCTGCTTACGCACCATGTCTACTCCAGGGCAGGTTCAGTCGCGCAGTGTCTCTTTCTCCTCGTATCTAGTCACCCCCAAACAGCTCAATGAAGCTCTCAAGAAGAACCCTCCGACCAAGATCTCCACATCACCTCGTGTGATTCCCCTCTGTGCAGCATGGTTCATGCCTAACGATCCAGAGGGTCGCAAGGGAATTGACTCGTTCCGCAACTCTCGCATCCCCCAGGCCCGGTTCTTCGATCTAGACGCTATCAAGGACCCTGATTCACCCTACCCACACATGCTCCCAACATGTGAGACGTTTGCCGAAGCCATGAGCGACCTGGGCATCCGTCGTGATGACGAAGTGGTGGTCTACGACACTGCCGAACTGGGTATCTTTAGTGCGCCCCGCGTGGGCTGGACACTGCGTGTGTTTGGTCACCCCAATGTACACATTTTGAACAATTACCGCCTCTGGGTGAAGGAAGGACTCCCAACCGAAAGCGGGGAGCCTGCTCCTGTGGAAAAGTCCAAGTACTCTGTGCCGACCTACGACTCGAGGCTTGTGATTTCCTTCCGTGAAATGAAGGAACTAGCTTTGGACTATGGCAAAGAGGGAGCTGAGCCAGTGGAAATCCTGGACGCCCGCTCTTACGGTCGCTGGGCTGGAACCGACCCTGAGCCCCGCGCTGGTCTGTCCTCTGGCCATCTCCCAGGATCGAAGAGCATGCCCTTCCAGCAGCTACTGGACCCTGAGACCAAAACTTACCTCCCTGGTGAAGACCTGCAGAAGGTCTTTGAGGAGAACAAGGTGGATCCATCTCAGACGATCATCAGCTCTTGCGGTACTGGTGTGACTGCCGCTATCATTGAAACTGCGCTGGCCGAGGCGGAATTCGGTGACCCTCACCTTCGCCGTGTGTATGATGGCAGCTGGACGTAAGTGCAACTCCCTCACATCCTTTGAACATTATTGGATCGTACTAACTATCAATAGTGAATGGGCGCAGCGAGTCAAGGAATCGGATGGTCTCATCAAGAAGGTGAAATCATAGGTGTCATAGGAACTGGTCTAAGGGAACTCTCAGCTCACGAACGACATGATCTCTTTTACTCTTAGATTGTATCCCAGAACATAGAATCTCTCACTTCTCTAATTACTCTCTTCGTTTCCTCTTCTCTTCGTTCACCTGCACCTACCTGTAGCTGACTAAGCATATCTCGCCCACGAAGCGCATCAAATCTCGCGCTTTCTTTTACTTCAGACAAACCGCTGGGACTACAAAGATGCGGATGGAATATTCCTATCAACAGGCTTCTCTTCGTGAGTGAAAATCACCTCATCCGTTTGCGCTACCGGCACCCGTCTCCCCCACATTCTCCCATGTCCCTCCAACCTCCCTGGCTCTTCCTAGCGTGCTGACCTCTCTCAGTCGTGGTCAACACTTCCAGTCTTCCGATATAGGGCGCTTTCAGCCCTGTATCTCACCGTCTCTTTCACCATGTCGACCGGGCGCAAGGTCTTTCATTGTGCCGTCGATGAGACGGCCTTGTCTACCAATATTAGCGAGATCAAGAAATGGACTACCAATGGGGCAATCGATCTTGTCGTTCCTCTCTACAGTGAGTCACTTGGCGATGGAAGCGGCCTCAGTCGCTTTGCGCCTTCTCTAACTAACACTCATTCTCTAGCTCTTGAACGCCTCCATGCGCTGAAGCGAGCCGGATCTCAGGTCGCCATCAACGCCCGCGAGGCTGTGCGCTTTCTCGACCGGGTCACCTCTGGCAAGGATCATATCGCCGCCGACCGAGTCCTTCTCCAAGGCCCGATGGAACAATATGACCGCTGGGAAGAGGCCGAGAAATTCTTCCTTCCGGAATTCGAGGAGGAGCCCGAGGCAATCGACGACGCAGTCACCAATGGCGAGGCGACCGAGCCCCTCGCAAAAGAGACCATCACCAAGACCGAGCCGAACGACCTGTCGCAAATGCTCCTCTCCAAGTTGAACTTCAAGAAGGACCCAGAGACCGCGTCGATCACTTCTGTCGGTTCGCCCAGTGGACCTGGCTCGCGCACGTCCTCTCGCAGCTCTCGCACCAGTCCTGAATGCGCCCAGCACGATTCAAGCAATGGAACCGCCAAGAATGAGAAGAGCAAGGCCGCTAACCACCAGCGCTCGATCTCCGCATCCGTCATCCCGACCGCACCGGCCGCCCTTCGCCCTCTGCTGAGCGCCTTACTTTGGCGCCTGCACAAAGGACCCGATGCTGAGAACTCCGCAAAGACTTGCATTCTGATTACCAACGACCGCGCGACCCAGGTGTGGGCGCAGAAGTTTGGAATTGGCGTCAAGAACATCCTCCAGTTGCGCACCGCTATTCAATACGAGGAGCGCGAGTACAAGAACCGCTGCAAATACGTCGAGAAGACCCAGACTCAACCCGCCGTACCCAAGACCTTGTTGTCCTACGAGGAAGAAAGCGACGAGGATGAGCTGGTCTTTGTTCCCCGTGGTCGTGGCAAAGGTGCGCCTCGTGCTTCGCGTGGTGGCCAACGCAAGGCTGCTCCCAAGCCGGCCCCCAAGCCTGCGCCTGCTCCCGCCGAGAACACGGTTGAGGTTCCAACCCAGCCTATTGACCCTGACTCGTTCAGCCGGTCTTTGGGTGGCGCCACCAAGCAGCCCACCGTGGACTTGAACATGCAACCAGCTGCTACCCGGGGGATCTCGAGCGCCTCTCGTCGTTCCTCCAATGGACGCCGAGGCGGGCCTTCTCGCGGTGCACGAGGCAGCGGTCGTGGCCGGGGCAAGCTCTGGGTCCCTTGATTACACGAGTGACGGTCTACCGACTCTATCATTTGATGGGATGACGTAGATCATGTTGAACCAATGCATCCAGAACCGGACAAGGGTATCTCTTTTCTCTTTGCTGGGCTGCTACTATATCTTGCTGTGATTGCTTGATTGCCCGCAGAGTGTGTTCCCCTCTCTAATCCCCGGCAACTCCTGACCACGATCGGATCTCGGACTATCTCGACCTCGAACAGGACATGAATCCAGTGGAGGATTCAGCCCGCGGCCCCTGTGCTGCATGGATTTGTTGAAGATTGTCCCCTTTGCCCTGTTCCCCCCTCGGAGGAGATGGGAGGCGATGAATGTTATTTTGGAGGGAGATTATGATAGCTGATTTTGATTCATCTACATCCCAGTTATAAAGTGCACATGGTCCAGTAAATTGTAGTGTGATACCCTATGTATGAAGTATGAAGGATGAAGTATCAAGTATGAAGGCTGAATGAAGTATAGACAGCTGAACGGGGCTTCCCCGCGTGATTGTCCCGTGGGACATACATCACTTGACTTTCCACTCTACACTTCTCTTCTACTCTTCATCTCCTCTCCTATTCACTTATTCACTTACTCACCTACTCACACACAGATCCAATCTAATCCAATTATCCACCATGTCCGTCGACCAAACCCCCCTCACCACAAACCTCGAGCGCCGCAACTCGTTGGAGAAACACCTCCAAACCCGCCCGGGCATGCAGGATCTCAAGAACCGCCACATCCTGCTGGATACCAACGTGGCCCCGTACATATCCCAGAAATGAAACCTGGAAAATGCTGAAAATAGCATCACTAACGCACCTCCAGAGCTCTCCAGTCTGCCCGCCAGGAACTGGATCGCCAGCGTGCTTCCGATGCCTTGAAGAAGAGCTTGGAGAAGAGACCTGAGAAGGATGAGCTGGTTGAGCGTATATTTCCCTTTTCGCTTCTCTCTCTCTTCTCTTTATTGCACACTTTCATGCTCTGTCACTTTGGTATGCTTGATGCTTGATCTATACTAATCTCGCCAAGGCAATATCCTCCCCGCCTCATCGGCCGCTCCCGCACTGCAAGCCCATGCTCGCGAACTCGAAAAGCACATGTTGGCCGATAATCTCGAGCATAAGATCCAGAATCGGCCACAGCCCGAAGAGCTTATTTCGCAGGGTATCTTGTCCGAAGATGAGGATCCCCGCTCGGCGTGATTTTTACACTACACTACCGAGTCGGCTTCTCTACCTTTTGGACTCGATGATTTGAAATGAGATATGGACAAGGCTTCAGGCGTTATTCTTTTTGTTCTTCTAGTCTTGCGAGAGTGACTTCCAACTGTTTCTGTCTTTACCGGGATGTGGTGATGTCACCGTGACGGACCCGTTCGATTGTCAATATCATCCAGTTGCTGCGTACAGTAATGTAATTCCCAGGCCTTAGAATGGGATAAAGAGCTAGATACGGCCATAAGCACTCCCTGGAATGTCGCCTACTATACTCTGTAGCACCCATCTCAAATTGCAGAGAACAGGATATCATTCAATAAGCATAGATCATCAGATCGTGAGAAAACATATCTAGTGACTCTCCACCTCGACAGGCGCAGACAGATCAGGCGTCCATCCACTGGGCCTCTCACTCCCACGAACGAGAATCCCATACGCCGCCCTCTCCACCTTCTCAACACTAGCCTGCATAACCTCCAGCTTCTTCGCCAGATCGCGGAGCATGTTATGGCGACGGGGTACACTGAGCGATTCAAAGCGTGCACGCATAGCCCGTAGATCAATGACGATGTCACCCTGCGACGGTGAGAGTGTGGGCGCCTTGGATTCTGTCGCGGTTTCGTCCGTCTTGGTTGCGGCTGTGTTGCCGGAGCTTAGTGATAGAACGGCGAAGCGCATCATCTCGCCTGTTAGATCGAATAGGCCCAATAGGTAGTCTTCTTCTGTGACGAGGATTTGGGCTGGGACGCGGGCGGCGACTTCGGCGTGTGAGATCAGTGTCTGTGTGCGGAGGTAGTGGTCGAAGGAGACGGCTTCGATGAATTCTTGGATGCCTGGGCTGAGTTGGCGTTGGTAGCGCCAGCTGTTTATGCCCAGTTGTTCTGGGACGACGGCTTCGAAGAGGGCGTGGATTTGGTCGAAGCGGACTTGGTTCTCTTGGGCGATTTTGGGTGGGAGGGGTTGGTTGGTTGCGCGGACACGTTGGAGGGCAAAAATGCTGGGTTCTGTTAGTTGTGTTGGAGGTAATTGAGAAAGAGACGTACATCTTCTTGCTCAGCGCGGTGATGTCGCGACTTTTCTTGATGATTCGTTCGCGGCGGTCATGGTGCTCGTCCAGCTCGTCGCGGAAGTTCTCAAAGATGGACAGGACTGTAGGTCCCTCTGTGTCTGCCATACTTGTGTCTTTAGGATGCAGCTCGAGTGGCTGACCTTCCCAGTCGCGTTTGGTGCCCATTTAGCCAAAAGTTGGAGGTTGCTGAGTTGAGCTCCACGATAAGAGATAGAGATATCTCTGCAGATCCCACTTGCTTCTTCACTTCAATCCATGCTAGCCTTGATATTTGACATGTACTCAGATCATTTAATTTGGCTTGGATTTGGGTAGCTAAGCTACTGACTTGTCATTGCCTATATTTCCAACTAAGCTTGCTGCTCATGCCACAACCTCACAAGATTCCTGCCCCAAATACCGATATCTAAGAGGGCTTTCCCCAAGACCTGTCACCTTGACAGTCTGCTCATCCCCAGGGACAATGTCAATAGCATTATCCTCAAGGGTAACACCCTCCTGCTCCTCAAAGACAAGACATTTAACTGGCTTGCGGGCATTGATAACCAAGACTGTCTCACCAGCTACTCCCACCTGTCTCTGAATCTCCAGCTGTCGTCGAGTCAAATTGAGATATTTGAATGGCTGTGGCCAGTCGACATCCCGTGCCACGATCTGGTTATTCACCCACAACCGTGCTGCGAGGACATGTGGCTCTGGCTCGGCGATGTGGTCGATTACACCGTCGGTGATGATATCCGTTGTTCCATTGGCCGTGATGGTGATATTCTCGTGTACAATCGGTGCTCGGATATCACGGCCTGTGTTGACAGATAGGAAGCGCAACTCAATGCTGCCATGGACGGTCTCGGGTTTATTGCTGGCAATCCAGAGCTCGTATTTGCTCGTCTTGGGTGGTTGGGCGTGAGCGACGCTCCAGTCGTGGTGTTCTCGGCGGA